AGCAGGTGATGTAGATGCGGATGCTCCAGCCTGAAAAACGACGGTGACACGCAAACACAAGCAAGCACACGCCATCAACATCCAGCACAACCATGACTCTCTGATCGCTCTTGCACAGCCTGCCTGGACAAAGCTTCAACGCCCCTGCTGTTGACAAAGGAAAGAATACTTGGATTGCTGCCATCCAAGTACGAAGGCACGATCTTTCTGAGATCCTGATTCCCAAATAGTTCATGCTGGTTTGTTAATGAGGCTTAGGGTGACGCCCGTGACTGAAAAATACTGAGAAAGTGAAAGCTCTTTTGCAGCCAGGCCGCTCTTAAACGCCTAAACCCTTCCGAATTCCTAATCCTAGGTTTTTCACTCCCGCGTAGCTGGCCGCAAACACGGTCTGTGTGGCCAATGACTGTCCAGGCACAAACCCAATCCTAAGCCCTCCCTAATCTGCCATCCCTAATCTCTTTAAACGCCGAAAGCTTCTACAAAGCTTCAGCGGATGCCCTGGCTTTGCAGCTGCTGCCCCTCAAAGTAGCTACAGTAGGCTCAGGGCGGCGCGAATCAGAGCCAGGGTTTGGGTTGGGCTTACAATGGCTTACATGACTACCAGAAAACCCCAGCTCGGTCGCGACATGATTGGTGGGTTTGAAGGGGCCAGAAAGCACGATAAGATGAGGTTTTCCCGGACCTACTTAAGCCAAAGGGCAGGTACCATCAGAGGACTCACAACATACCTTTTTCTGGTTTGGCAGTTCCTGTTTCGACTCTGAGATGGAAGCCTTTCCACTGATACTTTCTATGCTTGCCTCCGCTTTGTGCCTCTATTGTCCCTGGTTCCACAGGCTCCGACCAAACGTGAAAGCATGGCCAGCCAAGGATCGCTCAGGATTGAACTGCTTAAGCGCGCGGTGTCGCAGTTCAGAAGGGCAGCCAGCAAGTCGGAGACGGCATTGTCCACCCCATCCTGTACAGAAATGTGCCGGGTACTGCAAGATCACAAGCAAAGCATAGCTGCATTGTCCTGCTTGTGGATTGCAGCTCCACGCACCATCAAGTCCAGTATTCTTTGGTGAGTGCTATCCACCTCAGGGAACACATGCCCGCAACGCCAGAGATTCCACATGATGCAACCGCCCAGAACATGTACAGTACAGGAGGCTAGGTTAGCTCACATCTTTGCGCGTGAAGTCACATCTCCCCAGTGACACGCGGCTGCGAGCGAAGTCACATCACCCCGCATAAAGTCGCATCACAGAGACATATGTTGAAGCCCTCCCCCCGAATGTGCTGAAGCCCTCCCCCCAAATGTGCACGCGCCGCACGCGCATGTTCTCGACACGCATGCAAAAAAAACACACTTGTCACCGCCTGGAAGGGGAGCACATTCTTGTCAGCGTGAATGAGATTTCTGCTTGGGGGTGCAAGTGGGTTCTGACGAATCTTGGAAATCGCGAATGTGTGCACGCGCCCGAGATACGTCTTTACCCGTGAAGATACCACTTAACCTGCCCCTTTGTACATGCCGTTTGCTGCAGGGTTGCAATCAATGATGTCACGTCTGTCGCGCAGGAGGCGCGCGCACAAATATCGAAGGTAGCCGCACGAGCTTGGAAGAATTCCTCTAGCTGGTGGTGTTGCAACTCCACAACTGCCACATCGGTCATACCATTGAACACCTCAGATGTGGTATTGCGTCAGAGAGATCCTGAACTTTGAGGTGTATGCGTCTGCTTCGGTCTCATTTGGACCAGGTCGCGGTTCTTCGACGGCGTCTTCCCGAAGCCAGTAAACCGTGCAGTGGCTCATCCTGGCTCTGCTCCTGGCTCTGGTCGTCTTGAAGCGCCGCAGGCAGCAGATCACAGCAAAGCGTGGCAAAGCGTGGCAAACTGTGCCTCAACAAAGCTTCCCATTTTGGCAGCTGATAGGCCAACGCGACTCTCAAAGCATCCGATACTTTGCCTGCCGTCAGAGAACTTTCAATCGTGGCAATCCCCAAGACCGTCTAAAAATCGCTTGTGCCTCATCCGGTCTGTGCGGTCCAAGTCCCACCTGAAACGACCCACAAACGGACCTGCACAGACAAAAACAAAGTGCCAGACCTCTCCATCATGTTGGCCATGCCTTGCAAATACCTCGGCTTGCATGTTTCAGAGTGACTTGAAGTCGGCGCGGGTCCTAGACAGCATACTGTCCCACACTGTCCCATACTGTCCCAAACTGTCCCATAATGTCCCATACTGTCCCATACTGTCCCATACTGTCCCGTACTGTCCCATACTGTCCGATACTGTCCCTATCCAATGCGCTGCTGAAATGCCCATCCTTGCCAACATCAATCTCTGTCTCCTGCGGACCAAGGCGCAGCAGAACTACGCATGTTACGCATTGTTCGCACGTTACGCATATTTCGCATGCTTCGCGTGATGCTTCCTGCCTTTCTGTGGCTGCGCATGGATATCATGGATATCACGAGTACTAACAGAGTCCTGTCCTCCGGCGGTCCCTGGGAAGCACGCCAATGCAAATTCACGAGGCGGGCAGAGTGGTGCACCTCTTTGCGGTCTCATGTTCGGCTTCTGCAGTTTAGACATGTTAGATCATGTTAGACGATGATTGAATGTTGCGGAACTTTGCAGCTGCCGAAGGCAGGTCGCGGCTCAAGACTTCAGAGTGTTTGCTGCAAGGTTTGGAATTTAGGGTGACTTCCGGCAGACGCTGCAGCAGAGTATCCGGATCGTCCCGCAAGCCAGCTATCTCTGAGTCAGTGAAGGCCTCGCTGGACGTATTGTATGCGAGCATTTCCACTGCTATTTGAGACACTCTGCTTCGCGGCATGATGCCCTGGCTGGAAAAAAGTGACCAAGGGCATGGCCCTCGCAAGGCTTCTTGCTTTGGCCTCGCAAGTGGGGGATGTCTACAAAGTCTACATTCCTTGTCTTGACGCAGTTTCGGAGCTTTCGGAGCCTTGCTGGGAGGAGGAGCCACACCAGGACCTTTACCCTTCGCCTTTGGTGGAGGCGGTTTGGGCAAAGAGCCTCGAGGCGAGCGGCCTGCACATGGCAGAGCCTTCTGAGTCACTCTGTCACTCTCTGTGTGTCTCCGTGTCAAAATGCTTTGTGCCGTGCCTGGGGGTGGACCTGGAGCCTGGCAGCTGCATCTAAATCAGAGAGCAACGCGTCTTGCAGAGCTGACTGCGTCGTTGAGCAATTGCAGGCCTTCGCCTTGCCAAGGGCAGACATAGAGTCCTTGGGAGTTTCATCCGCAGCTCCTGGCTGACTCACAATTTTGCGCTGTGGCGGATCGTGCAGCAGATGACGAATTATTTGTCACCTGCTGCTGCGGAAGCCAGGAGGGAGACAGCCGAAGAGTCGAATAGTATTAAGAAGCCGCTCTGACTAACATCACACTCGCTGCAGCGATGCGGCCAGCCTAGATCATCAACAGCCAAAGGTTGAGAATCATCTTGGTCAACCTTCACATGACCTCCAGTGCTCAAGATACTGTCTGCAGATGGTAGCCGTTGACTGCCGAGAATTCTACTACTCCTACACAGACCTGGCGGGCCACCGGCATCAGAACCGAGATGGAGATCTTTGCGCCTGAGCTGCATCCAGGGATATCATGCTCGTGTTGAGGAGACACGACGACAAAGGCCGTAGCATCGTTTGCAAATGGACCAGGTGGAGTTCCTTCACAGAACAGCTTGGCGCAAAGCATCCTGTTACAGTTGCTGGCGCTCTGTCCTTCTCCAAGTCGCAAAGCTCATTCTTCCTGTCGGAAAAGTCTTGCATCTGACAAGTCGGTCTGGCAACTCGAAAGTTTGGAATCTGAGAAGCTAGCTCAGTAGCAATGCGCCTGGCCATGCACGCTCTCTTGGACGTGTGCAGCATTGAGTCATGAGGCGCGAGAGGCGCCTTTGACGCTCAGCCTTGCCATCAGGCCGTGGCGTCTGCTCATGGTGCCTCCGAAGCGGACCAAAGACCTCCCAAGTCTTGCTTCGGAGTTTCCAGCACTTTCGCTGGTGCTTAAACTGTTGCTTCGTCTGGGCTGTAAACGGGCATGGCTTGTACTAGTCACTGATTGGTCCGCTCAAAAGGATTGAAGTGGTGAGCGAATAACAGCATCACACAAGTGGAGGGTGCTAACACCGGTATGAAGGCGCACGAAACCATGCTCACTGTTCGACCCTTTGCCTCCTCACAGCCTGCTAGGAGCTGCTGAAGTCTGGCATGGCATTCCTCAGCTTCTCATGGCTTCGAGTCTCCAAGAAAGGAACAATGCTAAAAATGTTAAAGGCACTCTTGCACTCTGTCTGTGATGCGAGCCAGTGGCACTTGCTCTGTCAACCTCTGCGAAGGCTTTGGGCTCAGTGACGGAACATTGTGGTATTGCAGGTGCCTGCCAGCAGCGCTTTGAGGCAGCCATTTTCGAAACCTATGAAAATGGATCAAGTGGTGTGGCGGGAGCCTGCTCGAGCTCATCACAGAGCTTCTTCACGCGATCGCGCAAGTGGTCCACCTGTTTGACTCACAATCGTGCCCTCACGCATTCTATTAGCAGCGGCGCTGGGCAAAGAGCACTCTGCACAAAGCACATTTACTGTGCGCAGCTGAAAGCTGGAAAACACCTCTTCCAAGGCAGCTCGAAGTTTCTGTTGCAGGTCCTCATCTACCTGAGGGTGCACCGGCCGATCTCCTTCAAACTGACTGCGTATGTCTAAACAGCCACTAGGCTTCCGACCTCCATGCACATCCACCTGCAGGACATTTGCAAGCCGGAGCGGCTTAAAGCTCAACGTGCTCTCCTCACAGTGTCGACATGTGTCGAGATAAAGCTCCCCCCCCACCTCTAGTTGCGCAAGTACCCCACTGCGAATGGGAAGCGAGCAAGAATGCTTGAAAGCAAAAGGGGCCGCAGAATGGAACTCAGCCCCAACTTCAGCAAGTGCTAGTCAAGCACAGTCTAGCAGTGATCAGGAGCGTCCAGAAATCTTGGCTGTCGGCCAACGCTCTTGAGACAGGTCCACAACCGACACTTCATGCCCAGCATCCTGCCAGCCGACACCTTTAACATCTTATTTTAACATCCTTTAACCCTGCAGACTTGGAAACAATTCAGCTTAGCGCGCCGTCATCACAATGACCCGCGTCTGAGGCTTGAAATTCTCCAAGACCTGGGAGATGAATGGAATTGAGTGGAGATGGGGCTGAGAACGAATCGTGCTTCTAAGGGGCCAGGGTAGTGAACTCCTCCTCCAGGAACAAAGTTGCCGGTGAAGCCTCGGCGGGCAACAACTGGTACGACCCAAAGAGCGGACAAAACAACCTGCCTTCCCATTCGGGTCAACAAGGACGAACGCCTCATCCTGGAGCCCCTCATCACAAAGGGCGATAGGCGGCGATAGGGCATCAAGCGCCAACTTCAGTCTGCCCGTGAAAGGCGACGATCTTGAGGGGAGCAAACCACTTATCCTAATTCGGCTTCGTTCTGCCAACCATGCGTGACCATCCCGACAGTTTGAAACTTGTCGTCGCCCTCCAATTCGACCCTGTGTTCCTGGAGCCTCATTTTGGTTCGGCATTTGTGTCATTGGATGTCGTTGGATTGGAAGTTCAAGCTGTGGTGGCAGGACGGGGATCTTTCTTTGGGCTTGAAGTGTGCAGCGATGTCGTGTCCTAAGGCTTGTGGCATCTGTTGTTCTCGGCGTGAACGACCGCAAGGGTTAAGCCTTCCTGACTGAGTCTTTGGTGCTGTACACGTAGGCTTTATTCACACGCACGGTGATACATGTGAGTCGCAGATGCAACAAACTGCCGTGGAAAGTGTCAAGCCTGCCGGTCCGGATCGCTCAGTACGGTCGCATGCCCCTCGAAATACATCACAAAGTAGTCGTTAACGTCGCATCTCGACCTGGCCAGATCGACTGGAGAGGCTGGAAAGGCTGCGCTCCGGCCACAGGACATGCCGCAGTGATCCTTTGCTTCCTTGGACGGTCCGAGGCCAGGGTGACCATATCAAGCTGACTTCTAGGGTGAAACAGAAGGCTGAGACTTTGATGGCCCTTGGGCCGACGGCTGCCCGCTTGCATCATCTGTCCAATGGGCCACTTTATGAAACGATCAGCCTGCCATGCAGTCAAGAAAGCACCGGCACGTCACCTGAAGCTGATGCCTCCTGGTGAAACTCAGATTGCTTCGTCCAAGCTGGCGAAAGACAGCGCAAGGTCAGAGAAGCCGGGCTTGACGGACGCCTGCACAAATGCAACCTCTAGAGCCGTTACACACGATACACACCGCAATGGTCTTGAGACCGCTTCAAGATCAAGGGCGACCAGCTGGTCCAACCACCGAGTCTCGATGACAGTTTGCAGGGCTCGGGCACCTGCTCTTGGTGCGAGGCGGAGTCTTGGAAATCTGCCGTGTCACCTTGTCCGATTGAAGGCTTGGCGAATCATCCTGGCTCGCTCGCACATCCTACTCCCCGCTAAGGGCTGAACATGATGCCGTTGCCACGGAGGTGACCTCGGGGCTTGCTGCACGACTTCGTTAGGAAGAACGCCCAAGAACATCTTGACGGCACGCACAGCGCCGCCTCGTCCTGTCCTCCAGGTGTCTTGGCCCATTTTCTGTGTCCAAGTGCTGGAGGTGCGGCAGATCTTGCATTCACGCCTTGACTGCGACAATATGGTCGTTCTGGCGACCATGTCCAGACACTTCTTTGCCGGCTGCTTCACAATAAATGTATTAAATACAGCACTGAGCTGACAGCTCTCGCTCGCACGCTTGATGGCTCGAAGAAACCCAGGATCATCAAAAGAAGAAACCTTGGCACACTCAGCTTCGCCATGAACACCATGTATGCATGGCAAAGGGCAACATCCGCCACAGAACCATGATGAAATTCCCGTGCATTCCAGAAGCACTCTGCCCACTTGGCGCTGTGTGCTCGTTCTTCGGTAACGGCGGTGGTTGATGTCTCATCTCAGAACTTGCGGAGCTCTGGTCCTCATTTGCACACCCATCGACTGAGACTTGTGGTTTGCCTCGAGTGTAAATATGTCTAAATCTCGTCTAAATGCTGTGAAGATACAACATCGCATCCAGCCTCCGCTTCGTGTGCTTTCGTGTGTCTGGAGCGCATTTCAAGGCTACCATTGAATCCCCCCGCCTGTCCAGGGGTCCATTGTGAACGCCAGGACGACTTTCCCGACATCCGGGAGCCCTGTGTAGCAGCTGACCTGCAGCTTGCATCGTCGAGCTTTCTACAGTGGCCATCTTCTTGCATCACACTTGAAATGAGAAGAAGACTCTTGACCAGCTGTCGTCGGCCTGCTGAAGCGGGACACCAACAACAAGTGCTGCTGGACTGCATGCCTCAAACATCTACAGCAACCAGGGGAATAAACGCAGGCCTCAGAAAATGAGGGGCTGGGAGCTGGGATCTACTCCCGTTGCTGAATTTCCACTTGGGCCTGGCCCGGGTTCCCGAACCCTAACCCCTCGCACTCCAAACAGTCCTGAACAACTATTCAGGCCCAGTTGGAAATTAAGAAAATAAAGAGCCTAAGAAAATCAGATCATGAGCCCCTGACTTTGTTAATTTCGTTTTCGGCCTTGCCGGACCCTCCAAACGAAATGCCCTCAAAATTACAGTAATGAAGAAATCCAGCCCACGGAGTATCTTAATTTAGTTTTGGTTCGGCTCAGGCCCTGCAAGGACTTAAGATCGCTTTCTTATCTGCATTGCATCACCAGGCCTAGAAGATGTAGAAGACGCGAAGCCCGCGGCTCCAGGTCCTCGCCGAAAAGATGATGGCCTTTCTCGGAAGACAGTGTTGTCCTGACAATCGGATTCACAATGATTCACCTTGATTCACAAAAAAAAACTGAAAGACAATTAGTGGAGAAGCCCGTCTTTTACGACTAAGCACGAACGGCCCGTGCCTCTCTTGGTTGTTCCTTAGGCGCCTCCTCTACCAAAGACTGCTCATGGGTCTGCGCATGAAGTCCGCACGCAGGTAGAGGAGGCAGCAACTCGCCAACATCTGAAGCGGGGATTTGCTCGTCCAGCAGCTCCACAGGCAATTGTTGTGACTGATTGCCCGGCTCCGACAATGCTTGGTCCACCGTCTTTCCGCTTTCTCTGCCATCCTTGTGACCAAGTCCGACCCGAAGGATTCCGCTCTAGAATAGCTCTTTACAAAGTATTCCGTCAGAAATAGGACATGCCATATAATATCCCGTCATCCCGTCCCAGGTCCGCTTGATCGGTGTCAAGAAGCCATGCTTTGTGGCTGAGGAGCCGCAGTGTGCCTTAGCTGATCCATGCGCGCGATTCACACCGCTCTGCAGAACTGTATGGCTCAAAAATGACTGCAGTTTTGAACTTCGCCACTGGACTATGGTAGGAGCGCGATTTGGAGCACCGCAACTGGCAAACCCCTCCAGGCCAGATGCGCCATACAACTCAAAGCATTCAAAGCGCCACAACATATGCATGGGATGCGAGCGCGCTATTTGGACCGTGGAAGCGAGAATGCATCATGAAACACTGGATGAGGGAAATGGATGGTGAAAGCTCAATGTTCTGATCCTCTAAAAGCTCCCACGCGCACTTTCTGGAAAAGACGGTCGCGTGATCAATTGGATGGTTTCTCGACATTACTTGACGGAGGCGTCGCATGCAAATGCTAAAGAAGAAGAGAAAAACAAAACAAAACAAAAACTATTGTGCTTCGCAGCTTGCTCTCCTCGGATTTTGTGGCGTGCGACCCGGTTGGCATTTTCGGAACTTGCTGTGGCAGGTCCCGTGCCTCACATCCAATGACACATGTGAGCACTCAGCACCTGTCAAACACTCAAAATGTACCGGAAACTGTGGCCCGGAAACAAAACCACTCTGTCCAAACACCAACAAAATCTCAGCGCCCCCAGCCTCCATGGAATCAGCCGCAAAATCTGCAGAATCGACGGTCACGCGGGTTTGGTAATTAGATTTACTTCGAACTTGTGGAAAGAGGCAGCGAGCAAGCCATTTCAATCCGTCCGATCTTTCTCTGGAGACCGATGGCTGGAAAAGGTCTCCGGAGTCAGCCTGGCTCAGGGTGGTGATGCTTAGCGCACTTTTTGTCGTCAAGCCCATGATCGTGCAGCTGTGCTGGCATCATTCCAACTAGCCCGCACACGTGCATCACCGTGACCAGCCTGTTGGATTTGGTCGACTCCCATCCCTTTCGGGCGGAGGAGCCAAATCACAGCTGAGGGAGCCGAAATACAAACGAAAACGGTGTGTACACCTATCGAGTCCCATGCAAAAGCAAACAACATACATCAACCAACGCGACGTCACGTCGCATGGCAAGCACACACGAGGCAACAGGCAAAAGGCGCCCTGCACTTCTGATGGCGCGTCTCACCGCGTCTTTTGTGCATTGGCTGTCGTACAATGTGAGGACCTGTCTTGTCATAACTTGCAGAATCACAGCCTTGATCAATGGCAGCAGTAAGCCGCACACTTCGTGCACTCCGCACTGCTTAGCCTTAGCAGCAAGATGCATGCAACAATGCCACGGTCACGCGCTGATGTCTCAGGCGGCCACCAACTCTTCGACATGTTTCGCGTCGCTGACACTGGGCAAACGTTGTTTGCTGTTGGCATAATCAAGCGCCTCGTGGGCCGCTTCGACTGACAGCTCGCACGCTCATCAATACAACCCGTTCAATCGAATGTGATTCACACAGAACACGTTCTCGCCCAAACCGAACTCAAGATTTTTTGCAAAACAGTGTCACACAAACTTGCATGGCCACCCGGCATTTGCATACGCGCAACATAAATATCTGGGTGCCCGACCAAAATGAGCATGTAAATTCGATGATCCTGCTCCCGTGATAGCTGGACTGTTGCTGGCCATGTCACAACACCCAACGTCAAATTCACGCTTACAACTTGAGAAGGGGCTACGAAAGCTAGTCATCGCAGGGGGTGGCATTCAATACGACCTCTGCAAAGTACCACAGACCTTCAGAGCATGGTGACTGTGGGGGGCGGGGGAGGACCTTGGGGTGGGGTGGGGGGGACCTTGTGGGGGGGGGGGGGGGGGGGGACCTGAAGGTGGTAGGGGGGGGGCCGCCCCCCCCCCCTACCTTATCCCACACGCAACCACCTTAAAGGAGGGGGGGGGGGGGGCGCCGGCACCTTATCCTTCGAAAATGCTTCATGGTGAGGTGAGCGGGGGGGGGGGGGGGGGGCCACCCCCACCTTAAGTTTTGGGTTTCGGACCTGTTAAGGTGTGGAACCCTTTTTTTCCCTGGAAGCTTCTTAACAAGGTGAATACCAGTGCATGGGTAAACGACAACTCCCGCCAGCTCCACAAAGCTAGCTTTCGTGATTAATGACTGTTGAGCATGTTCCAGCCTCCCGATGAAAAATCGGGGCCTGGGACACCGCACGATCCAAGACATGTTCATGGTTAACGACATGATTACTTGAACACCACTTCTGCGCCAAGCAACTGCCCGCTTGTAATTGGAGGCTCCACTCACTTGTCGGTTTCGTTCTCGTACCGCCTTGCCCGCATTGGGTCCGTTTGTGAGCGAATAGACAAATTGAGACACACACACCCACACCCACACGCACACGCACACGCACACGCACACGCACACGCACACGCACACGCACACGCACACGCACACGCACACGCACACGCACACGCACACGCACACGCACACGCACAGCGCACGCGCACGCGCACGCACGCGCACGCGCACGCGCACGCGCACGCACACGTGCACGCGCACGCGCACGCGCACGCGCACGCGCACGCGCACGCGCACACACACACACACACACACACACACACACACACAGAGACGGACACATACAGCAACATTCACACTGCAGCGCTGCAAGGGCGGGACCGCACTCATAGCGACAGGTCGGTATGGCCACTACCAAACGTGCGGATGGTGCGTCCGATTGCAACCCTAGCAACATGCAGGCCTAAAGGTGCATGCGTATCCCAGCTATGCATCTTGATGCATCTCGTGCTTTCGCCCAGGATTTTCAACCACCTGTGATCCATGAGGTCAGCCCTGCTTGTTACAAATGTCATACGCACGGGATTGCTGCGATGGTCGGAGGAAAACAATGTCTGTGCTCGAACAGCAGACGTGCGGCAGGCACAACTGGCAACACACGGGTGGCAATCCTGAAGCCTGGGCTTGGAACGATGCATTGGCTCGAGCGCTTGCAATGCTCGTTGTTTTTTTTTTTTTTTTTTTTCGGTCCCGTTTTTCCTGACGGTCCCAAGTGGGCAAGCGTAACGCAATTGCAGTGTGCTGGCGGCTCGGGTTTCAAGCCCACGCAAGGATAGCTTTCCAGATCCCGTCAAGTGTCGCAAGTTTGCGCGATGTCCTCGTGAGGTGGCACACACATCACGCCGTGGAAAGCCCATCACCCAATGTGGATGCTCATGAGAACATGACACATCATTCGAGAGAATACACATCACAACATACGAAACCCCAATGTGGACGCTGTTTATTGTTCTCAGCCACTGACCGTGGCGGAGCTACGGCAGGCGGCTGGCAAAAGGAGGAACTCTGGCAGCGGCGAAGGCCAAGAAGATGCACGTATGCAGAAACGCACGGGCCGACGCATGCGCCGCGCGGGAGCGAGAGCAAGCGAGCTAGCGGACTAACTCAACGGCCTCGGCGCTCCAGTGGCCTTTGAGTTCGGGGCGGCTGAACTCAGGGTAGGTTCGTTCTTTGGCACGGCGAACGAGGGGCAAGGCAGCTCCAGCAGCTTGCCCGCACCCGATGTTGTGAGGGGGGAGAGCAAGGTAGTGTCAACAGCTGCATACCTCCCCAAAGATCCCAAAGGCGGGAGCCCATTGGCGATGACAGGTTCGTCCTGGCGCTGAACGTTATGGGCAACAGTCGCGCCAATTTCGCGGCAGATCCGGGCTGCGGCACACGCATGATTCTATGCCCTTGACTCTATGCACTCGAACTGTATACACTTGGACAATTGTATGCACTTATATGGTTGCATACTCACTGGTATACTGCACTTGTATGCACTTGTATGCACTTCAATTGCATGGCATTCAAGTGTGCTGACTTGAATGCCATGCACTTGTGGTCAACTCCATACACATCATTGGAATTCAACACATCTGAAGTTGATGGACTTGAACTCGACATTTTTCAACTTAATAATGCACTTGGGCAACTGTATGAACTTCACTTGTATGCACCCGACTCGGCTGTGCACGTCCAATCCACGCGACGCCATCCATGGAGAAAAAAAACCAACGCGAGTGAGCATCATGGGCAGTCGCTTTGAAGTCCAAGCTCATAGTCCATAGCGCCTTTCATGAGCAACAACTCAGCATGCACGCATGTAAAGCGTCCGGTTTAATGTTAACGGTACATACACTTTCGTGCTGCAGGCAGGATTCTAAGCAGTGATGTTTTTTTGCTTGTTTTTTTCCGCAAGCTCGTCCCGATGTGGTCCACTATGTGCCGGCGCGTCACGGCTGCAAAGGCAGTCGGCTGGGCGCGGCCACATCAGCAAGGTCAAGGACATCGCCAAGCGGCACGTCGTCCGGCGCGCCGGGGAGTGGTGGCATGGCCCAAACCCCGAGCAAGTTCCGCTGGCAGCGGCTATCCGTCGTGCTGCTGGCTACGCCTGCATACAGCAATCATATACCCGACATTCTAGAGCGCCTGGGGGCAGGCGGGGCTACCTGCCTGGGCAGTGCGTCAGTTGCGTGAGCCCGACGGCTACTTGCTTGCCCCTGCGCACTTGGAGGGTCGGCTGGGTTATTAACTGGTTAGGGTATTTACACTTCTTAGTATGTCAGTTATTAACTAGGATAACCTGACTTAGTAAGTCATGTAAACCTCATAAGTGGACTTACTATCTGGTGTAACTAGAAACATGACATAGTACGCGGTTACGGTTCAATAGTTTAGTATCATAAGTAGTTACACGAGAAACTAAGTCCACTTACACGAGATACTAAGTCCACTTATGAGGTTTACATGACTTACTAAGTCAGGTTATCCTAGTTAATAATTGACTTACCAAGTAGTGTAAATACCCTAACCAGTTAGTAACCCAGCCGACCCTACAAGCAGGAGGCTCTCCTGGAGGGTTACGGTGGCCTCCGGGTGGCCTTGGCGCGCGATCGCCACTCCGACCGCTTCCGACTGTGCCTGCGGTGGAGGGCACGGAGGCTGTCGCCGCGCCGTCGTACGCGGCGCCGCCGCGCCGCGCTCACGGGGTGCCCCGTGACTCAGGACCGGAGGAGGATGGCGCGGCTTCGGCGAGTGATTGTGCCCCTTGGCGCCGTCTCACGGCATCTCCGGCGATGCAGCGCGGTGGTTGGACGACCTCGATCTGTTGGTTGAATTCCGACGCTCGCCTGTTCGCAAGACAGCGTCGAGGTGCTTGTGAGACATGTCAAATCCGAAGCAAGGCGATTTGCATTAGTCAAGCGACATGTGGACGTTCTCTTTTTCCTACCCGGACTTTTGTGCCAGCATGCGGGTTCATCCGAAATCTGCTACCCAGGCCTAGGCGGCAGCTACGCGAGCTCACGGCACCGGCAGGCGGCTTGGCGGCACGTTCTCTGCGCCCCTCGCGTCCACCAGGAAGTCGCCCAACGGCGGCTCAGCTCCGTCACACTCGTGAGCTCCCGCCATCGGGAGCTCGAGCAGGGAACAGGCCAAGGCTCGCTGTGCTGCGACGGCGATCAGGCCGGTCCAGCGTGGCTGCGCCGGCGCCTCGCGGGCTTTGGCCCGAACCGGCCGCCCACCTCCAGCCCGATGACGACCAGTTTGCATTCGCTGCGCACTCGCGACCTCGGGGTAAGTCACCCCGGCGTTTTTTCAACGGTACCTCCATTCCTCGTCAAGGGGGACAACCAAGGTCGTATAGGTCGTGTCGACCGCTGCCGGTGCACCTTGCCAAAGCGGCAGGCCGTTGGCCAGGACTTCGATGCGGCGGCCGTCCGCCAGTGGCACCTCTGCGTTCATGCATGACGTTGGTGGCCACGCGGGTCCCGGCCTTGCGGCAAGTTCTGGCGGCTGCGCGCTCGAGCGCGGCAGACTTTCCGCCCATGACGCTATGAAGTGGGGGTGGCCGATGGGCGTGCCCAAGACCACCAAACCTCGCTCGGAGGGCGCCTTGTTTCCCCGCCACACGTCCGCGCCCAGCTCAGCGATGCCTGGTGGGGGCGCACCTCCGGCGTGGCAGTACACCCGAGTTTTGCCATCGTTGGAAGCTATGCCGCACCCTTCCTGCACTGCCTGCACCACGGTGTCACGAGCCTCACGGGCACAATCCCGCGTGGTTAGGACGTACAGGTCGTCGAAGAACGCTAAAAGTCGCTCGGAGGCGTGGAGCGCGGACGAGGCCTGGCATAAAGCGGCATGCTGGCCAAGGGCAAAAAGTGCCGGAGCCAGCGGGTCACCTTGCTCGCATCCCTCTCCTTGGGCGACATCGCGACAATGCCCCCGACGCGTCCCACCAACAGTACGTGGAAGGACCATAGCACGAAGGGGAGGAGTTCGGGAGCGACGGACTTGAGCGCCGTCGAGACGCTGTCATACGCACTGCGCCCATCCAGCGACACCAGCACTTGGTTGGGCTCCTGCACGCGGACATGGGCCGCCAGTGCGTCCGCGCCCGCTCGCACTTGGAAGGCAAACTGATAAGGGCCGCATGGCTCTGTCAAAAGCGGTTGCCCAACTCTTCGCAAGGGCGCTCGAAAACGTCCCTTGTCGCTATGCCGCGCACGCTTGCTGAGAGCAGTGAGGCGAGCTAAAGCGATGCCTGGGACGATGTCGGCTGGCACCTGCGCATTTGCCAGCCGGGTTGCAGCATAAGCGAGGAACTCCAGTGCTGGCTGGTCCTGGAGCAGGACTTTTGAATGCTCTGCTCGCATGCCAGTTAGCCCTGCCGCGCCGCCTCGCTTCGCACCCCGCAAAGCCGCTGCGACAGCAGGCCGGTAGTCAGCCACGTCAGACGGCACTGCCGTGCGCGGTCGTGGCGGGCAGTGGGCGGGATCTGTCAACATACGCCAAGTGCCCTGGAGAGCTCGCCCTTCCGCACCTTGGCGCACGTTTGTTCGCGTTTTCGCTCGGCCATGACCTCGGCGTCATCGCCGCCGCGCTGACTGCGAAGTGGGTTGGATCGCCGTGCTGCAGCCAGCAATTGCACCCACTCTCCCCGCCGGAGGGCCGCTGCTCAGGACAGCAATTCGTCGCGCCCCTGAGGCCCGTGGAGGCGCGTGCGAGCCAGAAGCATGCGTGGTGCGAGGAAAAACAACCTCCACGCACGCGATGCCGGCGCTTCATCGTGGGTCGGCGTGGTTTCGCAACAGTCGCGGAGCAGCTGCAAAGCCGTGGTCAACGATACCCGCACGGCGGCTCTCATGAAGGGCGGCACGTCCTGTAGCATCGGCACCGGGCATCGGAGCTCTTCATAGCTCTTCGGCCAAGTCCACCGCATCTTCGCAGTCGCAGCGTCGTCACCGTCTCCTGCTGGGCAGGTGGGGACGCCCTGGCATCCTTCGTCGGCGTTCCCTCTGGACGGCGAAGGTGCCTGGCGTGCTGTGGAGCGGCGGCGGGCACGGAGGCCATGGCCGCGGGTGGTGGGTGGGGCGGGCGGCGGTCGGTGCTCGTGCCGGGCATCGTCCGCTAGGACGCTAGCTGCCGTCGCACCCGCGTAGGACTCTAAAAGTGCTGCTTGCGCTGCCGCTGTGAGATATCCATCTGGGGCCATGCAAGGCAGTAGCGCGGCCGATAAGGGCAGCGGGGCGTCGGGCATGGCGGATAGGGTTGCCGCCGATGCTCGATCTTCCGCTGAGGTGCCCCACTAAGCGTCATGAGCCTCGCACTCGGCGACCGCAAGCAATGTTTGGGCGAGCCCTGACGGCGGAACTGGGGGCGCATCCCGCAACAAGGCCACGAGTTCACAAAAGCGAGGGCCGAGCCCAGGATGCGAATGCCAGTCCTGGTAAGCGCGCGAGGTCAAGTTGCGCGCGCCCGCATGCAACAAAGGTATGTAAAGCCATGAATTGCGCTCGCCGGGCAAAGAGCTCGGCGGGCGGGCATCTTGCCAGGGCAGGTCAGCATCTGCTGAAGGCATGTGAGGCGGCCGCTCTGACGAAGGTGGCGGCGTGAAGCCCGGCGTCGCCTCTTCGGGTGCCACTGGCGCCACCGCTCACCGAGCTGGTGCCAAACATCGGGAAGTCAAGGGTGTCGGCAAGGGCAACAAAGGGAATGGCAAGGGATGCAACGCAGGCACGTGGCCAGGAGACAGGCCTGATGGCCAGCCCACTCGTGCGGACCTTCTGTACCGAGCCTCGGAGCTTCTTCAGGCTTCGAGCACCCGTAGCCATTTTGGCTCAAGCCATTTTGGCTCCTGCAGGCAGCCCTCTTTTGACCGCCAGCGGCCCCTTCCCGCTTTCTCGCTAGCAGCTGCCGTGCGATGGGGGGTTGGACTCGGCCAGAGCGACTCTGCCAACAGCTGCCCTGCCTACAGCCTGCAGAGAAGCAGCTGCGCACGCCGTTCTCCCCCGCTTGGTTGGCGCGCCTCGCTACTTTTCTCCAGGCTGGGGGCCCTGCTCCTTGTGCTGGGGCTGGTTGTGCTTCGGGTTGCTGCTGGGCGTGCTGGTCGCGACGCTCTTCTGAAAACGGGTGCTGGCGCGCCGGCGGACATGGGTGGTGGCTGCATCGGGGCAGGAGGCGAACGCGAACTTGCCGAGCTGGCCGCATCGCTCGACCAGTCGCCGACTACACTGCTTTGCGCCCTCTTGCAACAAGCTATGGAGTCGCACGCCCATGCCCCATCACCGCCGCACCCATCAACCCGCCCAGCGCGGACAGCGCGCCACAGAACGGCGCCGCGGTTGCAAGGACCGGAGGCGCCCAATGCCGCGCCCACTCGAGGACGCGTGGAGGCCCGGCGGCCCGTTTCGCAACCGACGCAACAGAGTGTGGCTGGATGCCGCGCCCGTACCGAGGCCGGCGCATTGGCGAGGCCGCTCACCCCGGCCCACCAGCCACAGTCGCTGATGTGACACAACGTCGGGATTGTGAGCATCATGGCCATCGCATTGGCGAAGCAGACCACCCAGCCGCGAACCGGCGACACATGCACTCGCTCAGATGCAACTGTTGCCGCCTGGTCCCCGCCCGGCCGCTTTGCGCGACCACTAAGCGGAAACGGATGCTGCCGAAACCCTCTCGGACACACTCAGCTCCACCACTCCTTTCGCTTCCCCGCGGGGCGATACCCCCGAACGACCCTCCGGACGACCTGTCCCGAGGGGAACGTTCACGGTGAGGCGTGCAAGGGCTGGTGCTCCGGCTGGGGCTGCGGTCTGGGGAGCGGCCGTCAGCGTGGGGCGCGGGCGGAGGCGGCCCGTAGGCCATGGCCTGCAATGCGCGGAAACAGACGTGTAGGAGGTGGGCGGCCGGAGCCTCATAGAGCTCCCCCCAAGGCGCCCGAGTGCACCAAGCGCTGTATTTCATGGACTTCCAAGCAAGGCGGGAATCAACCAACCCCGCCCCCCTTGTCGCGATCACGAAACTCGCCGCGTGTTCGGGCGACGCCGCGCTGGTGCATGTGTCGGCGCGGCGGTTGCGGCCTGCAGGTTGTCGCGCTCGCCGCTCGGGCGACAATCCCGAGTCCGCCATCTGCAACAGCTGACACAAAAGGGATACCGGCGGCTGCCCCGTCTGGCGTCCCACCCAAGGACGGCCTTTCCTGTAGAGACCTCCCACAAGGCAGTCTGGGCAGTTGACGGTCCACCGCTTCCTCCTCCACAAATCTTACATTTCCATGGCTCGCACTACTAAACTGGGTACGGCAAGGTCTGAAAGTCCCCCCCAGAAGTCCTGGAACAAGTGGCACCTGGTCCCCGAACACACCCCCAAAAGAAAGGAGAACTCACTCTCTACACTGCGCGCTGTAGAAGCTCCCCCAGATCCGACTGTGGTTCTTAGGGTCACGAAGAAGTCCCGTAGAGTGACAGAGTACCTCCCCCCCCCCAGTAGCAGACACCCCAGGGTCTCGGGCACAGTCGGCAGGCACAGCTTTGAAAGAGCGGCGCGGCGGGCTCAAGCCGCTGGAGGGGGTGGGTTCCCCCAACGACTTGAGCCCGCTCTCTCTCTCTCTCTCTCTCTCTCTCTCTCTCTCTCTCTCTCTCTCTCTCTCTCTCTCTCTCTTTTGCTTTGCTTTGCTTTGCTTAGGGGCATAGGGACGGACCCTGCGCCAAGGCGCGCCCCGCTCCCGCGTCACGTGAGACTTTTAAGATGTCCCTGACTGCCCTGTTGGCAGCCGCGCGGCGCCCCCAATAGCACCTTAGTGGGTGTCCTTAGTGTCCTTAGTGTCCTAACTGGGCCAGCCCCCGTAAATCCCACAGCCCCTCTTCCCTGAACTCCCCAAGCCCCCACAAACCGCCTCAACCTTCCTCTCTCTCTCTCTCTCTCTCTCTCTCTCTCTCTCTCTCTCTCTCTCTCTCTCTTTTTCTCTTTCTTCTCGATCCACACAGCCTCGGCCTCGTCGACATTCTCTCCGACTGCCCGTTGCACAGAGTTGCTTGATGACTCTTTTCTCTCATCCTTCTCTCTCTCGCTCTCTGCTTCTCTCTCTCTCTCTCTCTCTCTCTCTCTCTCTCTCTCTCTCTCTTTCTCAATTGCCAGGACCTCGTCTCCACTCTCTCCTCCTGCTCCTCCTATCCCTCTCTTTCTCTCTCTCTCCCTCTCTCTCTCTCCTAATCTCTCTCTCTCCTCTTCCCTCACCTCTCTCTCTCTCTCCTTCTCGCTCTCTTCTCTCCTCTCTCCTCGCTCTCTCTCTCTCTCTCTCTCTCTCTCTCTCTCTCTCTCTCTCTCTCTCTCTCTCTCTCTCTCTCTCTCTCTCTCTCTCTCTCTTTCTTTCTTTCTTTCGGAGGGCGTGGAGGCCGAAGCCCCCGGGCGTCATCGCCCGCCCCTGTTCGGAGCAGTACGTGGGTTCGGTGGGAGACAGTGGTGTGAAGTTGTGCGGTGGATGCCCCCCCATACCCCATACCCCCATTATGCCCTCTCGCTCTCTCTCTCTCTCTCTCTCTCTCTCTCTCTCTCTCTCTCTCTCTCTCTCTCTCTCTCTCTCTCTCTCTCTCTCTCTCTCTCTCTCTCTTCTGCATCACTCTCTCTCTTTCTCACACTCTACCTAACTCACTCTCTCTATTTCTCACACTCTACCTCCCTTAACTCTCTCTCTCTCTCTCTCTCTCTCTCTCTCTCTCTCTCTCTCTCTCTTTCTTCTGAATCGTGAGGCCTTCGACTCCTCTGCGCCAGGGGCCTGCACAGAGTTGCTTCATCCACCACTACTACTACTACTACTACTACTACTACTACTACTACTACTACTACTACTACTACTACTACTACTACTACTACTACTACTACTACTACTACTACTACTACTAGGTGCCGGTACCATTCGCGACGGTGTCATTTTCTTCGATTCCCAGTGCTAAAACCTAGGTTTCGCGCACATTCCAGGCTCCAGTGCCCCTTTGTCTTTTCTTCTTTCTACATGTACCTGCACCGTACGCCTTGCCAGTTTGGGTTTGGGCTGTTAAACTGAAACATCGGTATTTACGACACTTCGTGTTTTTTTTGCAGAGCATCCATGTCCGCACGATGATAACGTCCGTGTTACCAGCGCATCCATGTTGACACGATGATAACTGGTAACGTCCATGTTACCAGAGCATCCATGTCCGCACGATGATAACGTCCGTGTTACCAGAGCATCCATGTCCGCGCGATGATAACGTTTGTGTGACCACTGCGTTCGCAATGGCCAGAGCATCCATGTCCTCACGATGATAACCTCCATGCAAAAACATCGGTATTTGCGACACTTCGTGGCTTCATGGCTTGCGAATGGCCAGAGCATCCATGTCCGCACGACGATAACGTCCCTGTTACCGGAGCATTTATGTCCGCACGATGATAACGTCCGCGTTACCAGAGCATCCATGTCCGCTTGAGCCCAGCACTCAAGTCCGCTCAGTGTCTTCCATGACAAAAAAAACAAGATAAGACAAACCCTGCCACTCACCTGCCATCAGCTGAAAACACTGTAAAACGCATGCATTTCCTGCCAGTCCTGCGCAAGCACCACACCGTCGCGTACGTAACCAGCGCGTACTACTACTACTACTACTACTACTACTACTACTACTACTACTACTACTACTACTATACTACTACTACTACTACTACTACTACTACTACTACTACTACTACTACTACTACTACTACTACTACTACTACTACTACTACTACTACTACTACTACTTACTACTACTACTACTACTACTACTACTACTACTACTACTACTACTACTACTACTACTACTACTACTACTACTACTACTACTACTACTCTCACTCTCTCGGTCTGTCTTTCTTACTAAAATCTCGCAAATTCTATGAAATTGTACTAAAATGTACTCAAATTGTGAATTCTACTCTATGCACTTGACTCTATGCACCTGACTCTATGCACTTGACTCTATGCACTTGACTCTATGCCACTTCACTCTATGCCACTTCACGCTACGCACTTCCCTCTATGCACTTCACTCTATGCACTTCGCTCTATGCGCTTGACTCTATGCACTTCACTCTATGCACTTCACTCTACGCACTTCACTCTATGCACTTCTCTCTATGCACTTCACTCTATGCACTTCCCTCTACGCACTTCGCTCTATGCGCTTGACTCTATGCACTTCACTCTATGTACTTGACTCTATGCACTTCACTCTATGCACTTGACTCTATGCACTTCTCTCTATGCACTTCACTCTATGCACTTCCCTCTATGCACTTCACTCTATGCACTTCACTCTATGCACTTCACTCTATGCACTTCTCTCTATGCACTTCACTCTATGTTGTTGGGTCAGAGGGCTCCGCACGGAAGAACCCTTCGCGATGCTTTCGGGAAAAATGAAAACATCGCCGAATGTCTTTAAGACACCGTGTCCTCGTTCGTGGTGTCGACCCGTCCGTTCCTTTGCTCGAATCCCCAGCGTCCGATTGTGAAGCAGAGCCGCTGCCGGAAGCCGAAGGCACCCCTGGCATGCCCTGAGGAGGTGCTGCACATCTGCGATTGCCGATGCGGCAGAGGGCAGCAACTACACGTGAAGCATCGTGAAGCTGCGGAGCACGCAACCAAATGCACAGAATTGCACAGATGTACACACAAAGCTCCAAGCCACGTGCGGAAAAGCAGGTGCGCATGCCTTGAACAGGCCCAGCAGCGCAACAATCATTTTCCGACATATGGTCAACGATGGCATGCCCCAAGGACTGCAGGCAGCGTAATCAAGGCTCTCAGGAAGGACAACATTCCAGACATGCACGTTTATAACAATTTTGTGGCTCCAAATGCTGCATAGAATTCTATAGCAACGATTCGCTTTTTCATAGGATCGCAGTGCGAGCGCGTGCTAGCCAAGGCCAAAGCACTTCATCGTCGTTCCCTCCACCTGTTGCAGATGAGAATTTTGGAAGCAACTGCCGGCACCTGAACGCTCTTGCCCGTGCTATCAAGTATATCTCGTTTCGGCGGCAAGAGCGATCGGGGGTCCCGCGTGTCAATGTATGGGCATCCGGCATGGGCCGCAATTGGCGCAGGTGCCAGTGAGGCCGCAACCGCGGTTTGATGCTCACACGGGGTTCGAGCCTTGGACTCCATCGATTCGTTCGGATGACGTGTGCGCACGTTTCGCTGAAGTCGACTTGCGTGAGGGCTCGTGATGTGCATTCAGTGGTGGTCGACCTGACAACCAAGCGCGCTTGAAATCTAATTTGTCGCCCGCGTTCGGTCGGTAGTGAAAAGGAAAGACATATCTCAACATATCTCCTGAAGAAACGCCACGTGCTCGCCGTCATCTGGCGCAAGCGTCCTTCTATCGCACGTCGGCCTGTGCCAGATCACGTAAGACAGAAGTGCTCCCAGAACGCCCGGCGGTGTTCCCAGTTTTGTTTCGCGCAACGTTGGGACGAACAGATCGGCACTCAAATCACTCGCCAAGGGCGAAGGCAAACAGTTACGGGGAACAGTTGTCGCGCGGGTCAAGTCCGCGGCATCGAGTGGAGCTTGGAAAGGATGCAAAAAAAGGAAAGACAACCGCATTTGGAAAGGAAATGGAAACATGGAACTAACTGACTTGCTAGAGTTGAACTGACCGCATGAAAACATCCTTCAATACACTTCCTTTGCACAGGGTTCAAGTTCCGATTTCGTGCTGCTTGACTTTGAAAATAGGTTAACTGAAAATATGAAGTTCTTTCATCTTGCTAGTGGAGTGTATTACTTGCTTCAAGAATCCGCAGGCGCATCGCAACGGAAGCGCAATCGTCCATTGGTACCGCTATGGTTTGGTATGTTCTTGCTAATTGTCCAATGACCTAGTTGTTTCTTGCACCGCTCCTCCCGGAAGCGGCCCTCCACCCCGGCCTCATCGACGCTACTTCGACGCTGCCAGAACCCGTCAGACAGCATCTTTCAGAAGCTTCCGCGCGGACGATATCCAGCTGGAGTGATCGTGCCCGACCGCTTCGTGTTCTTTGCGCTGATGGGTGTTAAGCGAAAAAGGGGTTAACTGTCCTGTTTCCCTGCCAAATGTGAAAGAAAAATCTACCTAGCCTTGGTTGGCGCATGCACGTCATGCATGCCATGCACGGTCACGCAAGCGGAGGGCATCTCACTTTCTGGATTGCCACGTCATGCGTCGTGCCACATCGCGCCGCGGTCATCCTTTGGCTCGCAGCCCGTGGACTTGGGGGAATCGGGACGTGCGCAGCCGCGCGGTATGCAGCAAACAATGCAAAGAATCTGTACCTTCAGATGCCTTGCCAAGGTCAAGTGGCTTTATACCCGAGTATTTGAAGTATCACTTTGTCATGCCAAGCTGATTGACGTTGCCTTCCAGTGTCAACCTGTGATCAGTGAACCGAGCGTCATCCGAATCCCATACTCCACTAAGCCTAGCTGTTGAACACTGTGCACAATGCAGCGTAATTACATCCTACCTGGAGGACAGCAGATCCCCTTAAAACAGCTCTTACCAACAAAGCTTTCCAATAAAGAGACCGGAACTAGCAGATCATGCTCCTGCAATCAATAATCCTGCGAGGTCTTTTTCTCCTTTCGCAGGCCACCATCCTTCTCCTTGCGCTTCTTCTTCTCTCCACCTGATAGGACAGGTCGCACGTGAGGATATCGGACAGCTCCAGCATTCTCACGTCTCGTCTCGGACTGGACCCAGCCTGCTTTCTTGGCATCCTTTCCCAAAGAGGCAAAACCTTCATTGGGCTCTCTTAGGCTCTCATGGCTCTGAAGCGATTGCTCAGCAAAGCGATCCACAGCACGGAATGACACGGGATTGAAACAGACATGAGCTCGGTTGCAGGCGGTCTTGCGCATCCTCGGGTTACATGTTCAAACACCAAGAACAACTTGTCAGACGGTACTCAGAAGCGTCAAAGTCAACAGAAGCATGCAGTTTAAACACAAACAGCCTTGGAGGATCTGCCACGACCTCAGAGGCTCCACCAAAAAATAAGAACGGACGGGCATTTGGAGAATTTATACACTTCGACATTTCAGTATTGGCAAACCATCTGACTGCGCGGCCTGGAATTGCTGAGCAAGGAGAAGGAGACCTGCCGTACAGCGTAGTATCAAAATGGGATCTCATGGGAGCCTTGCTTCTTTGAGCAAAGTCAGGACAGCGCTGTCCCTGCGCATTAAGGGGAAAGGTTTGGGGATGGGGAGGAAATGAGTCTGCCAGTTGTGGAAAGCAGGTGCTCGTGGTTGGATCATGACTAAACTGCCTGGCCTAAACCTACCCAGCGGACAGATGAACAAAAGCATCAGGTCTCAGCTTCGCACGGTTCCGCTGCTCGCGGCATCATGTACGGATCCCATTGCATGCCTCTAGAGGCACACCCCTTTTGGTAAACTTCAAGTGCACAGGCACCAACACCTCGAAAAACATGCAATTTTACGATTAATAATACGGTTTTATTCGTTATCAAACATTGTGACATTGTCGGCCACTGCACGGCCTTGGCCTGGTGCCGTCAGCACCAGCTTCTTGGACGCCTCTGCCGCTCTTTTGGGGAGCTTGGGGCACACTTGCGGCCCAATTGGCCCTCCTGGAGTTGCACGGCAGAAGCATGTACATCGATGTTCATAGTCACCTTGGTGGTCTTGCCCGTCTCTCCCTTGCGCTTCTTGCGGACCTGCAAGCCAAGTCTGCCACAGTCTGGATTCTACACCGGATTGCGCCCAAGCTTTGTAGCCACCTGAGCCTCTGCGCTGCACGGGGACTCAGCCCTGAGTCCAAGGTGTCGAAGCTGGGGAAGGCATGCTCAGTTACACCACCCACCTGGGCTTCTTTTTGGCCTGCAAATCCCAGTTGAGACTGTTGGTCCTCTGACTCGAGCATCTGGGCTACCCGTGTGATTGCCTGGCCTTCTTCCCGGCTTGCCAGGGGAAGACTCCCGGCCTCAGCACTACGACCACGCTGACCACGCTGACCCGAAGCTTGGAGCTTTGGGAACTTTCCCGACATTCCTAGAGCCGCACGTAGAAATCGGAGAGATACTGCGTAAGTCTGGATCCACGTCACCGGGCTCCTTGCAACTTCAACATGTGTTCTCAAAAGCTGATGTATGCTGATGCCCCTGCAAATGCCTGCACAACAACAGATGCTCTCATCTCACACGCAGGTCTCCGAAACACCCACGGCCACCGCAGCAGCTGCTGACACCTTCGCCACATTCGCCTTGAGGCGCCACTACGTTCAGAATGTCCAACAGAACAGAGCTCTGAAAGCTAGCGTCGCAAGCCTGCGTCAAGCGTAGAGCAGGGCCTTCCTCATCACTGGAGACTTCTACCTGCGCTTTCGGGTCTATAGGCCGAGCTAAAGAGGTTGGAAGTTGGATGTCGAGCTGAAATCCGAGAACCTTCCTTGCACCCTATAGCTCCGCTGCACAGATCACGCTTTCATAGCATTCGCCACCCACTAGGAAATTAGGAAATGCTTCGCTCTTGCAAAATGTTGCAAGTTTTTGTCGCAACTCTCGGCGGAGTAACCTTGTCTGAGCGCCGACGCTCTGGTCGAGGGGACGTCAACCTTAGAGATCATGGACCATGAACCGTCCTTCCGCTGAGCAAGCCAATTGCTTTTGAGAACTTACTTTTCAAAGATTTTATCAACTTGCACTTCTCAAATCCTCGTTCATCCCCACTCGTGCCCCTGTGCCCTGAGCACAGGGCGGGCGCTGGCCAGGCCCTGCCGATCCCTTGGAGGCCTCGGCACAAGCGATTGAACAAGGAACAACCCCCTGCGAAGCCTGATTTCACAAACAACTTCGGATTGGAACATGATTGCATGCACTGGCTCCCAGTGCTGCGCCTTTGGTGGGGGAATGTCTTGGCCTCCATCCGAGCCCTCAGGCACTGATGGCACTGTCACGTCGACACGTGCTGCAACAACCTGTGATTTGCGCATTCCTGGGTGCACTGCATCACTTTCATCACGTGGCAGAGCCGGTGGCCAGGCCTACAAACACTCAAATCATGCTGTGCTTCGTATGGTTCGTTCGCAAGCCATGCGTGGACCTCGCCAGAGACTGTAGCCAGCCTGAGCCACCAAATCTCTCAGTTTGCTCTCATCACTTCAAGTCTTCAAGTATCGGAGTATCCCTCAAGATTCGGACCCTTCTGGCCGAGATTTAGGGCGTGCCGCAGGACGTTCATCTTCCTCGCCAGCTGCGCATCCAAAGGTCAACTCGGATGCCCCAAAGATCCTAAAGTTATGCACCTTGGGCTTCTTCTTTTTCTTGGGTTTCGCCTGAAACGGAAGTTCAACAGTTCCGCATTCCAAAAGAACCAGATTGGCGCTTGCACCTTTGCCACTTCCGGGTCTGCCGCCGGCGGCACGAAAGGAGCAGGTGTCACCTGCGCCCAGGCGCGGCACACAGGTGCCGAAGCTGGGGACTCTCTGCATCTGGAGATCCTTTCATGCTTGGCAATGCTCGCAGCGTTGGGCCTGAGCTGGTGGTCTTGGTGATGGTGGAGCGAGTATTGGGGGAGGCTCCCGCACCTCAGCAAAGCTCTAACAGACAGCCCCGCATGGCCGTGTCCAGATTCGTCCAGCAACTCCCGCTCACAAGCTCACACGTCAACATGAGCCACGCACGGGGGCTGGCACCGGCACCTTGGCAACAAGTCAGAATTTCCGTTCTCACTCGGAGTAAACATGAATGCCGGCTGCGTAGTGTTGAGACAGCTTGTCATCGAAGTCTGATTTTGCCGTGGCTTCACAAGTTACAGCTTTCAGGCTCTGCGCTTTGGCTAACAGGGCAGTGACACGACTTGCAAGGTACATTGTCACCCAAAGCTCTAGTTTGCGCCCCGGGTGAGCCTCGCACCGCGAAGTGTATTTCGTGCCCTCTACTTTGGAGTTCGCACGAAAACAAGGCATGAGAAGTCATTAAATAGGCCATGGCAGGGCTTTTGAATGAGGACTTTGTTCCATACTCAGTGCCGCAATCTTGACAAAACAGAAGATCAGCCCTGCCGCTCTCACTCGACTACGTCACTACAGAGTCACTATCTCTTTCATCTCTTGCTGTCGCACGGGTATCGAACGGTGTCGAGCTATCTGCGGGGCATGATGATGGAGACCTGATGCCAATGAGCGATGCCATGGTGTTCAGCCCATTGCCAGGCGTGTCCGGAATCTGGTTCTCGGGGAGGGTATCCGATTTCCGACATATGGCCGTGAAAGCCATCAGGGACCTGCACCCACCTCCAAGTGCCATGAAAGCTGATGTGAGCCCAGTGGTAGCCGCTGGCGCACATGCTCGCTGGTGGCGCAGCATCCCCCAAGGTCAGGTCACTTGAGGTGAACGAGCCCGACGATCCCATAGAATGGCCCAAGGTCAGGTCACTTGAAGTGAACGAGCCCGATGCTCCCACAGAATGGCCCAAGGTCAGGTCGCTTGAAGTGAAGGAGCCCGATGATCCCATAGAATGGCCCAAGCTCAGGCCACTTGAAGTGCTGCCATGTCCATGTGCGACCTCGTGCCACACCCCGTGCCCATGAAGCTCTTCGTGCCAGTCTGTGGAAGCTGGCGGGAGGCTGTGGCCAGAACAGCCACGTCCGACATGGTGGCAGCACCAGTGCTTCTTGGAAGGGGACCACCCCTTCTTCCAATTTGAATAGCCTGCATCACAGTCATAGTCGCCAGCAGGCTCAGCACAGCCTTTGTGAAAGTGCTGACAGCACCAAAACTTCTTGCTGTTGGACCAACCATTCTGCCAATTGCTGTATCCAGCGTTGCAATCGTAGGGTGTCACTTTGCAGCCTCGGTGAAACTTATGGCAGCACCAACTCTGCTTTGCGTCGGACCAGCCATGGTGCCAGTTGGAGTAGCCAGCATCACAGTCATAGGGCATGTGTGAGCACCCCCTGTGTGCATGCCGGCAGCACCAGTGCTTCTTGTTGTCTGACCACCCCGCTCGCCAGTTGGTAAACCCAGCGTCACAGTCGTAGGGCGCAGCCACAGCACAACCTCGATGGGAGTGCTGGCAACACCAGTGCTTCTTGGCAGGGGTCCATACCGACATCCAATGTGAGTAGCCTGCACTGCAGTCGAACGTATGGGAACAGCCTCGGTGGCTGTGCTGACAGCACCACATTTTTTTCGGTGCAGACCAACCTTTTTGCCAGTTGCTATATCCCGCGTCACAGTCATATGGCGACGATACCGTACAGCCCCGGTGAGTATGATGGCAGCACCACGTCTTCTTGGATGTCGACCAACCAGACTGCCAATTGGAATACCCCGCATCACAGTCGTAGGGTGTATCTGAACACCCTCTGTGAAAGCGATGGCAGCACCAAAGCTTCTTGTGAGCCGACCATCCAAGCCTCCAGTTGCTGTAGCCAGCATGGCAATCGTACTGTCCGTGTGGCACGGGAGGATGAGGATGAGTAACTGGGGCACATCCCAACTTGTAGTGGGCGCAGCACCAGGCTTTCTTTGCCACAGACCAGCCGGCCTCCCAGTTGTCGAGACCTGCATGACAATCGTAAGGCAATGTTGGATGATAATCTGGACAGCTGACTTGGTAGTTCTGACAACACCAGAGCCGCTTTCCCAAAGTCCAGGCTTCAAGGTCGCCGGAGTGACAGTTGTATGGGGTGGTTATGTGTGGAGGGCAGCCCCGGCCAAGCTTGTGACAGCACCATGCCTTCTTCTGACTTGACCAGGCAGCCTTCCAGTTGTTGAAGGCCGCGTTGCAATCGAAAGCTTCACTTGTTGTTGCAGGCGTCGTGGTAGGACAGCCTCGACCAGAGTGGGCACAGCACCACTGTTGCTGAGGAAAGGTCCAAGCTGTCTGCCAAGCCCAGTAGTCCTTGGTACAGTCAAACAAGTCGTCCTGGTGAGGAGGGTTGTGATGATGACGGAAGAACGCCCCGACAATGAGGATCAGAGCCAGGCCAAGAAGAAGACAACACAGAAAGCCCACAAAGCAACCCCGTGCTTTCCACCTGGAATAGGTGACGTCAAGCCTCCGTTCAAAGCTGCCCGCATTCTCGCCGACATAGGCCTCAGCGCGGTGAAAAAGAATACACAGCCATGCCACAGCCCTTTTGTTCATGAGTCCAGGTTGCACAAAGCAGCACAAAGCAGCACAACGTAGCATAAAGTGCCAAACATCTCAAACACACCTTGACCCCTTCTTTTGCAGCAGCGGCGCAAAGTTCTCAACTTTCTCATAAGCACCTCTGCCATCACCAACCCACTTCCATGTGGCGACCGTCTTCTTTCCAGCCGGTTCGAAGCAAATGCTTCCTGCAAGCGGAACACTAGCGCAACAGTGGTCAAGTACTCTGAATGAATGGCCATGTTGACACCTGGACCATACAAACAGGTGCGCTTACGGATCCTTGCCTACATTCTCGCAGCCATCTTCAGCATGATCGTGGTGTCCACCGTGTCCACCATGTATGCCGTGTCCACCGTGTATGCCGTGTCCACCGTGTATGCCGTGTCCACCGTGCCCGCCATGTGCAATGTGTCCACCATGTACACCATGTCCGTTCTGCACGACGTGGACGCCATGTCCAAAATGACCATCGTGGCCATAGTGACCATGCCCATCACCAGCGTGTTCCGTGCTGACAGTCAGGCCCATTGCCTTCAAAAAACACAGCCCAGCGTGACAAGATTCCAATCGGACAATCAAACAGCGTGCTCAGTTCTACACTGATTCTACACCAGGATACTGCAGGCCTCAGAAGAGGCTCAAGCTGGAAGCCCACTCCGCAGCTGCTTGAGCAGCTTTGAGCAGCTGAGCACAAGTATGCAGTTGCAACTCACCGAAAAAAGTCTGTCCCAGGAGCTTTTCTTATCATGTTCAACTGAAACCAAGATCAGAACATCCACCATCACGGAGCTCACATACAGCGTCAGGAGGCGCTGCTCGACCGACATCCTTGGCATAGCCGCACCCACAAGAGCGCGGATACGACTGGATGCTGCTGGCGAGACTGGGCGATACTGGGCGGCTGCACTGCTTGTCTTGATGACGGCTCTTTGCAGGGACAAGAACACTCCAGCCTGGCAATCGCAAGAGAGAGATTTAGAAAGCTGGATCTGCTAAATCTGAACACGTCTCATGTCACAGACTTCACAGACATGTCGGGAAGACCATCCTGCACAGCCTGGCTTAGAACGATCTTCACGCACCAAATGTACCAAACATGGCGAGCCTGTACGTTTCCGGGCACGATGCGGTCGAATGCGCCAATCGTTGGGACGACGTCCTGGCCGCGCTGCCACGGCTGCCACGGCGTCAAACAATACGCATGGCTCACCGATCCTGCTCCGTCGGTGATTTATGAATGGACAGCCCGTTCCTGGAGTTGAGGTCACCTTACCGAGACCGCCGACTCCAATGCGCAAACTCAAAGATGAAAAGAGTTCTCAGGCACCGGCGGATCGACAAAAGACCAGTCATCCTTAGTCCACCAAACCACAAGGGCGAGGTCCGAGCCCCAAAGAGCTGTGCAAGGCTTCTATTCAGCGCGCGACTTGAGATCCGAACCAAGGATGACCTGCAGGGATCGGCACGGATCTGCAAGGGAAATCACTCTGACACGGCAAGAACGGCGGCTGCCCACCTCTTCTGGAAGTTTCTGCCGCATAAAGATCTCAGCCTGAGGCGCCACTCAGCACAAAGAAACAAAGACTATGCAAAAAACCCCTTGTTGAGAAGCTGGCGTGGTGTTTGGAAACACCCTCATAGTCCAAGATCACCTGAAGGCATCTTGGGCATGGGCCAAGCAGCTTAGGACCGCTTACTCATCAGGCATCACCAAGGCTTTTGCCGGACTTGCATTCTGGGAACTTGTGGATTTATGGTGGCCATGCACCAAGGTCGCGCAATGGAGGCATCAGCAGGCTTCACATGGATTGAGACGGTATTGTATCTGCGAGGAACTGGGAATCAGTTCAGCCATGAACGCAGCGCCATTTTGCACCCCTCTCTTTACGTGTTGTTTCCTTCTGCGTGGGCCAGCTTAGGGCTTTTTGATTCACCCTTGCGCGCACATCGCGCGCCTTGCGCACGTCAGGGTTTTTCCACATGCTCGCAGCTTTGAAAACTATGCACGATGAAGTGGATGGCTAATGCCACAGAGAAACCTAAGGACAAAGCATGGGATTGGCGGCAGCTGTGGCTGTCGACGCACTTGCCAGTCGGTGCTGGCTATTTGGGGCTTCCTGGTTCTGACTGCTTTTGAATGCTCTCCTCTCTTCTCGCCGGCACAGGCCGGCTGTTCGCGTCAGGGTCGTGGGGTTGCCCCAAGTACCCATGTTATCCATGGTCGTGCTGCGGCGTGTTTCCTGGCCCAGAAAATTTACCTGAGCACTGCTCTTCGCTTGGCAGGGCAGCTTCCCGGAGTCCTCGCTGCATGGCCGAGGCGGACTCGCAAGATGTTTATCACTTGTATATTGATGTTGATACCGTTTTTGAAGCGCTTCCAGTTGTCAAAGCCTTGTTTAAACTTCACATATATATATCTATATAAGTTACGAGGCACACGATGCGGCTTCTCACAGGCCGAAATCTCAAAGGCCGCAGACCTCATTGTCGTTGCCGCGGCCAATTCGCACGACATCCCCAGACCTGGACAGCAGATGAGAGCAGCGCAAAGAGCAAACTTGAGCCAACTCTGAACGATCGTTCTCGAATCTCTCAGAAGTAAGCTTGAGGATGAACTTTCTGCCGGTGGAGACATCCTTCGGGTGGGAACGGAACGGAGCGGCACACTTCTTGGAGACATCAGATCGCCATTCTCGTGGTCCCCCCAGCTGTCCTGCCCCTTGCGGCACGCAATTATTTGGCATCGCTCTTCCTGCCTGCCCAGCAAATCCCGGCATGTGTGCCTTGTGCTGTCAAGTACAGTACGGTTGAGACGGGTGATGGGACTCGACACACGCAGATCCTTCCCATTGCCACCATCGCTTCAGAACCGACTGCACCTGCAGCACGGTAGAGAATGCATGTTCTTAATTGGAGAGATAGTTCCAGGCCGCGGCAACAGGGAGCTGCTCGTCACTGAACTTCTCTCTTCCTAGAGTCTAGAGCCGGGCAGATGTATGCCAACATTGTAAAAAGTGAAGTGCGTTGATCCGAGAATCCTCGCAGCGTTCATGCCAGCCCGCAGAGTCCCATTGGGGCAGGCCAAGCTCAAGACCCACTGCAATTCTTCGAGCCAGTTCGAGCCAGGAGCCACACGAGGCAGGGAACAGCGGCTTCTAATCCAGAGGCCATCCCAAACTACTCGAGTTGCACGCAACATATGCCAGCCCCACATGCTGAGTTGCGGTTTTTTAGCGATGCTTCGTGAAACGCAGACTGGGGTGAGCAGCAAGCTCTGTTTCCGATGAACATGCAAACTGCTCAAGCTACTTCAAGCTACACTAGTGAGCACCGGCCGCGGTTGGTGAGGCTTGGTGGCGTGCAGCGGCCGTGCGCTGAAAGCTGTGGAAGATGCATTTGAATTCCAAGGCTGCGACGAGAACGCAAGCCAGGATCATTATCAGAAGCCTCTCAAAGGCTTGCTTCCTGTCTTCTCAGGAAGGATGGGCACTAACTAACTTGACAAAGCTCTCTGAATGTCAACGGTCCTGTTCATAGCTGTCAGCGCACGGGTCGTACAAAGTTCGTACCACTGTTCAGAGTTACATGGCAGAACATGTGTGTCAGCGGAGACATTCAGAGAGGCGTCCGCTTTGTGCGGTTCCGAACTCCCGAAATTGAAAAACAAAAGAAAGCGAGAGAGAGAGAGCGAGGGAGACAGAGAGAGAGAGAGAGAGAAAAAAAAAAGAGAGAGAGAGAGAGAAGAGAGCTCTGAGCGCTGACTCCGAACGGGCGCGCTCAGCGCGTGCGGAGGGCCAGGTTGGCGTAGGCCGAATAGCCTCACAAGCAAACGACGCACAGATCGCCGCAACGCAGTGGCCCCAGCCATGCGATGGCCTTTCGTCGTGGTAAAATCCTCCTGAGCAATGGGTTCGCGACATGTGCTGCCACAGATCCACCCCATTCTTTGGTCCACCTGCGCCTGCCAAGTATGGCCTTCTACAGGGTTCAGGACTGGCTCGTATGTCAGGCTTCGGGAAGCTTAGGGTTGTCTGCTTCTTTGATCGAAATCGCTGGTGTTGTGTATGGGTGATGGCTTTGCCTGTCCTTGTTTGACTGAGGGTGTGCAGGTAGGGTGATCTATTGATTCCAGGTCTGTGATTATCGCTCACTCTTTCCACAGTTGCGATTCTTTATTCCATGATATGCCGCTCCTTCTAAGGGTTCGAATCTGCCACTCCCGTTGATACCTCTTGTGGGCTGAGGACGTGCACTGTTTAAGACTCGATACTGACCCTTCCAATGCTTCTTGATTATGGAGCTTGCATCAAGTCGCAAGTCGCTACACTGCTCTGACGTGGCTGCGCTCGATTGCGCCTCCAATGTAACTTGCTGGCTTCTTGCTGCCTCTTGCCCACATTGAGCCGAGCCCGCATCGTTTTCCATGCTGACCGCTACGTTGCACGCCTGGAAAACCGCAACTCGCAACCGCTGGATTTCCCAAGACGAAAATGCACCGTCAAGGTTGTCATACTGCGGAGATTCGCACGCCGGACGACGGGGAATGGATAGTTTAGCGTGCAAGGGTCATGGCTAAAGCCAACCAGAATTGCGCAGACATAAAACAGTAAACACAGAGGGTAGCAAAAACTTCTTGGATGCAAACAGAGCGCCTAAGGAGCATCCTGGGAGCCCCGCTTCCACTGGCACTGGCAAGGATCTGTCGGGTGTGCTTTGGGAACCTGCGATGCGGAGCGACGCAGCTGAACAAAAACGTACCCCGACTCGTGCAGAAGGGAACGGATGTGCCTCGAAGCGCAGGGCCCTCAAGGTTGCCGCCGGTGTCCTGACACTTGCGTCTACCCAGCTTCCAGGAGTTCTAGGAAATGGATCGCAACCTGCGCTGGCAGTGCCGATGGCTCCGGTAGCTCCGGGACAGCCTGAATGGATGCGATGCTTGTGTTTGTTGATACTGCCTTGCTGCGATGGCAATGCTCAACTGAGGCTCAGACCTTCACTGTCTCTAATTCCGGCATCGCCATCGGCGTCGCAGAAGTGATGTTTTGGGCCAACTCCTCCAAGCCAAGGCTGTGGGCTGCGGCACATTGAGCAATGAAGCAGGCGTTTGGTCTTTCTGTGTCCTGTCCCTTCTCCGATTCCGGAGCCCTGGAAGCCAGCTTGGCCTGGAACAGTGCAAGAGCTGCATGGGAAGAAACGTGCGAAAAGAACTGGCTCGGGGTTCAAAGTGGCCTCCTCGCTCCCATCCCGCACTTGGATCACGATTGATTGCCTCAAAGCCAATGTGGGATCGCAGGCGTTTTTGCCCAATCTGCTCTTTTAGGGAGATGCCCAACGACCCCCCAAAAAAATGTTTCTAGCAAGCCAGACACACAAGAACTCCGTATACGATGTTGTAGACACATATTGCCTCATTCCTAGCACACATCCCAAATCCAATAAAGGATAAAATTCATATGAGCGACGGCTTTTGTCATCCACGTGGCCTAATGGAGGTATTTCTATCTGAAGCCCCTGATCTCGTTCCTCTTCGAACAGTAACCTGTACTACTACGTGTCTGAAAGTTGGTGGGTCTCGTTCGGTTGCGGCCTGAACAGAGCCTGTTTGTATGGGATGGCTGAGTTCCCTGTATTACCGCTGTTTCCGCACGTGGTTATCTTTACTATCTAACCATACTGTGCGAGAAAAGAGAACGGAACGGAGCGCGACTGCATTCTCAGGAAAAAGATGCCAGGTATTTGGGAAAGTCACGGAAACGGCCATAATGATGTTTCAGCCACAAAACATCACATCGGCAACCGACAACCGGTTTCCTTTGGGAGGCTCTGGCTCAACTCGGGAGTTTCGGTAACGCCACAGGCAAAAGCATTACACAGGCCCGGAAAAAAAAATCATTGTTTCAAGCCACGGATAAATCATTCGCAACCGGCTGCCAGTTTCCTCTGAAAAGGTCCGGCTCAAATCGAGAGGCTCCGCTTACAGCCATATGCCAAGGCTTGGAAGAGTAGCCTGCGCAGGCCCGGTACGCCGAAATGATTTTGGCAACCGCCTGCAAGCTTCCTCTGCTTCATGCCAGACAAGGAATAGGCCCTGCCTTCTTTGACACATCTTGTCAACAAAACGGAACGCATCTTGTTCCCATCTATCTCGTTCTGAACCTATGCAAAAAACAACATGCTCAAAATGTCGGCCCTGGTCGCGATTGCGTGTAGGCGTGGGATAGTCGGCCCTTTTTAGTGGGACACTAAAGGCACGTCTAGCAAATTGGAAGGTGATGCGAGCATGTGGCAGGAGAGAGGGCCGAGGTGCATGAAGGCGGGCTCAGGCATGCGGCGCAGCACGTGCCCACGCCACGCACTGCAAGCTTGGAGCATGTAATAAAGATTTTCTGAAGCCCCAGTTTCGTTCCCCAATGAACGCTAGCAAAAGACGAAGAACCATGTCCACTCCAATAAACGGTATGAAAAAAGGGAAAACATCGGCTACTAACATAGAGACTTAGGTCATCCGCCGGTGCGTTGACCAACACTTTTGTCGTGGCTAATCCCTACTGCCCTACTCTCCCTACTTTAGGTGCGTGCCCCTGGTTCGAAGGTTTAGTATAGGGAAGGGGATCTGGCTTCCAACCCTGCATTTTTGCAGTTCTTGATTGAGTGTCTCCGAAGCAACCGCTTCCTGTCCCCAATAAAACGAATTCTTCAAAGCCGTGTGAGAAACACAGAAAAACATGCTCGCGCATTGTGTTACACACGTCAGCTTTGAGGGATTGATTGTGCCCACTTCACGTTTCCACGACCTGAATCCCACCCGCAAGCGAGACTCTTCATCGTCGTTTTTCAGTTTTAAATTGTTTCCAAGCTGGCAAAGGCAAAAACCGCGGTCCTGACACGAAGTTCCGGGCGGTCCACTTGCGGACCTATGGACGACATTTGACACAGCTCTCTGTCGAAATCTGGTTGTTGGACGGCTGAGGCAAGGCAACGGCAACATACGGGAACACAAGCTGCTTCATGTCAGGACATCGCAAGACAAAATTTACAACGCCTGCTGTGACCAGTATATTTGCTAGATTTGCCTGCACGAAAGTGCGATTGCGCACTACACAAAAATGGCTCAGCTAAGCAAACACGCTCACCGTGATCGCTTGACAACAGATAGACAGCTAAGCAGGTTTCGCGGTCTTCGTCTGAGTCTTGGGTGGCAACTCGAGACATGAGAACCGCACCACACCACGCATCAGTACAAATCCTCACGTGTCCCATGCTATCAGCGAATCAGCAAAGCCCAGCGTACTTATTTGCGATGGATGCCATAAACCCCAAACAATGCCATACTTCCGCAATCTCACATGCCCTGATATGTCATGGACTTGAGTTGGTGCAACTCCAGGCCACAACGTTCTCGAAATATTGCAAGCCAAAAATGCCAAGCTGGTACAGATTTGCAAGCAGCTCGGCCAAAACCCCAAGCAAGACATTTCCCCGTTGCGCCGACAATGTTGGGGTTTGCTTCGGACTCAACGGCTAAGACAACACAACTCAAAGACAACAAGCTCCATCTCAAAACATGTTTATTGAACCTGTCCGCTTGGGCCGTAGGGGCACGGCTGCCCAGAGAGCACGGTTATTTGTGTCGCGCTCTTCTCGCTCTCCCTGCCTCAGGTCAGCACAGACCTTAGATGACCTCGAAATGTCACCCCAGGAGCTTCAAGGCTCACACCGGGATCGGAGTTCTCGGTGACGTTCTTGGGAACCTGCCATGGACTTCAGTGATCGCCGCGCAGTGTAGGTCTTGCGAAACCAGCGGAAAATTCAAGAATAGTTGGCAACTCTACCTGCTGCGTGGAGTTCATGCTTTCGGCCTCATGGCAAGATCATGTGGTGGTCTGAACATTCACTGGCTCCGAGCAGGATGCCCCCGTACTTTGAAGCAGCTTTTGACAACAGCATCGGCACCCATTAGCATAAAATCCTGTCTAAACATGTTTTTCTGGACAATGCATCTCTGCTATGTGTCACAGCTACACGGTTACACTACCCAGCTGCGGAAGATGCCATGGATGTGATATGCAACTTCCGCGTGAGCTCAGGTTGCACGTAGACCTCGTCCGATGTGAGGGAGCCCTTCTCGGATCCCTCAACCACCGCTCTGAAGGACAGCGTTTCCCAAAGGATGTCGGCCCATCGCGAGTATTCCTCAAAAGCGCAAAGCAACAGAGCAAGGTAGTCACAGCAAAATGCTATCGCATGCTCAATGAAATTGCCGCCTTTCGAGGACAAGCTTCAAAGCCCCACATTGTCAGGCTGAGCAGTGCCAGAATGCCAGGTCCTCCATACGGCTCTGTCCAGAGACATCCGCTCATCACCACAACCTCGCTGCACTCAGTCCGCGAAACGGAGTCCCCAAGACAATCCAGCCATGGACAACAGTTGCAATCTTCTGCCAGCTGTTGGACAAGTGGCGAAGATGGGGAGCGTGAGCTGCGCGTGACGCAGCTGCTGAGCCCAGAAGTACCCCCCCAGGTCTGGCTTCTGCGTCTCTGCAAACACAACAAGGTAGCCTTGACTAACAGAGAGAACAATGGATAAACTCTTCCATCTCTTCCCCTTCCGACACATCCAAGGCATCCAACTCTTCATGACTCTTCTCCCACAATTGTTCACCCTGAAGCTTAGGCAGCTTAGGCACTGAAGACGAGGCGGTTGATCAAGAAGTACACGAAGCCGATCCATAGGGCGATGGGTGCCACGAGGCTGAAGACCAAGGAAATGGCCAAAACCACGTTCAGCCGCGCACTCCGCGAGCCGATGCCTTGCGCAAAACCACAGTCTCTTTGGCATTCTTTAGCTTTGTCTAGCCTTCTTTAGCATTCTTTAACTTCTTTAGCCTTCTTTAGCATTCTTGCATCTTCTTGCCCCTTTACACTTCTTTCGGCTTCTGCATAGAAACCGCCTTCTCAACCAAGAAGTCCCAAGCTCAGGCGAGAGGCCGTAATAATCTGGATCCTCCGGCTCCGAGAGTTCTTTGGCGCGTGCATCCTCGCTGACGGCCGCCCAGGCAAGAAATTTGAGCAAGTTCTGATAACGCAGAATGTTCCTCGGCCAAGAAGCGAAAGCACGCGCCATCACACGCCAGTTCACCATATTCTCACCATATTTCACACAAAAACTCAAACGATCGCCATGAAAACTATGTCGACTTGTAATTGCAAGACAGGAGGCAAGACAGATACGGACCACTGCAGGATGATGTAGCTCATGTAAAATGTGGAAGTGTTCGGCAAACTGCCAGCTAAGTCAAGCACCACTGAGGTCGGCGATGTCAGTACATCTCGAAATCGCTGCCACAGCGAACTTCCGATTGCGGTAACCAGAAGAACGAAAATCACCTGAAACCAATAATACCACTGCTGTAGAAACAGTTGGCTCTCAGCTTTGGAATTGAAGGTGAAGGTGTTGCCAATAATCACATGGAGAGTCGTTGGCAAGAAAGCCATAAACACAGAAAGCAGCAGCGTCGCAAAGATTCCCTCCATAACAGATTGGGCCCACGTGGACTTCGTGATGATGCGGTTTACGAAATCTATGCGCTCCAGGTTCTCCAAGTTGACAATGGACGATGCTGCGCCAATGAGCGGGAAAAAGAAGAGGAACACCATGAAGATCAGCACATACCCCAGCAGATACAACATCTGCCTGCAGGGCAGGTCGCTCATCACTGCTGACTGTGTGACTGTGTGACCCTCTGGCCTTTGGAAAGGACTTCGGAGAAGGTCGTCGTAGGAGACGTCCTTCGGCACGGGAGGGTACTCCATGGTGAAGAGATGGCCTTCAAGGGAACAGAACTGGAACAGAACAACGTGTCTCCTGGTTCTGGAACGTCACGAAAAGGAGAAAACGACCTAAGTTTCCTTCGTCCTTGCTGCTTCTTCTGTGTCTGCGAGCCTTCTGGTTCCAGCCGCAATCTCAGGGCCATCTCCGCGTCGCGGGAAGCCCTGAACGTCACAAAGGCAGCGCTTCCACTGTACTCTGCCTGAGGAACAGCAGATCAAGCCTCGTCTCTTGCTCTGCTTGCAACATCTTATGTTGAACCTCTGCAATCTCTGCAACATCTTTGAAACTGGGTTCTCAGCCTCATCGAAGCTGTCGGCTTGCTTGATCTGGGACCGCTCGCCCTCTATGTGACGCTGCAGATGTTCCTTGAGAAACAAGATCTTCCATGCGTTGCATACTCTTAGCCCTTCCACAGATGTCCACAGTGTGGATATACCATCAAGAAAGATAGAACACACACATCCAAACGGCAACCTTGTTGACTAAACCTCAGGAAGCTCTAACATGGATGGCGAAAGCTGAGGCTCGTCACTTTCCGTTGAGGTCTGGGTTTAGGTTTTAGGGTTTTCTTTCAAGTGTGTTTTCCTTGCCGTATGCCTTTCTAATCTGCTCCTCCTTTCCAGAGACCAAGACCGGCAACAAAAATGCACAAACATGTGATATCCGATGCGTTGTGTGAGCACATGCGCCCGTGGACGGTGCCAAAGTGCCCTTCTTCGCTTATCCATGAAGAGACAGAACTACTGATGCTAACACCATTGCATTTCAAATGCGGAACTTGTCAAGCACTTGCTTGCGGCGGCTCCCACAACTCACAACTAGCCCAAACTGCGCGAGTTCTTCGATGGCACATGTCCTGTGTTCTTTAAATTGGTTCGACAAAGGAATCCGGAGAGGCAACCTGAGACTAGTCGACTCGTCAAGCTCAGATTCCACAAGCTTTGTGTAGTGGTCGATGCTGTCTACGGCCTCCGCATCTTGAAGAACTCTGATTGTTGGTCTCTTCTGTGGGTCCTGGCTCAACTCCACACACAAGTCCTGTCAAGCTTACACTTTCTGCAACTACTCAGTCCTTGTCCGCCTTGAGCCACAGATACTGCGACTCGTGCAGTCGCTGCTCAGCTATTGAGAACTCATAGAGCAGGTCCGCCAAGTTCGAGAGCTTCTTCACGATATACACTTTTTCGACTATTCCGCCAGGAAAAAGATAGTCAAAGTATTCCTTCAGCTTGGTATCAGATCCTTGTATGCCGCTGCACAGAACCCTACTAAGCATCTATTTGGATTCCCGCGCAGCAGTCAAAGCAACCAGAAGACACAGCTGCCAGAGACCTTCGACTGCATCACTGATGCAACCAAGCGGCTATAACTTGGAGGGATGTTGGTGACCAAAATAGTGGAGGACTGTGGCTTCGGACGCTGCTGCAACCACGCCACGCGTCTCTCCACAAACTTCCTTGCTTTGCAGACACCCAAAACAAATTTGCCGGAATTCCAGAGAGTCGACTCGTCTTCACTCGAGTTGCGATACATACAAGCTCTCTGTCGGGGGCCAAAGCGGCGCAAGGAACGAAGAAACGATGGATCAGCCCCTGCCCAGTCTACCTTTGCAATCCTTCATGCCCATGTGCCCTAAATGTCATGACTCGTGAAAATGTGTTGTCGGCTGCGTGGCAGGATGCGCTGAGTGTTGCCGACTTTGGCTTGTTCACACATCCACTACCAAAGCGCTTCAAATCGATTCAAATCCTAATTAACCTACTCTAAGAGGGAGACAGCAAAAACGAACAGATGCTAAGACCAAACAGGTCTCTTGTGTGCCTGCCGAAGGAGGCGCTGCACAGCCCAAACCACAATCCATGTGGAAGCAGCCAAAACCCAGCCTGAAGTCGGTGATGCCAAAGACTGCCAAGAGTTCGAGCCCGGCTACAGTTACACAATTCAGCACACTCTGAAGATGCAGCCAAGGAGCGCATTGCCAGCCCGTTGCACCTTAAAGAGCTGATGCTAAAAAGGTCCAGCGAGCTCCTGGGGACAAACTGCACGGCGCTTGTGCAGGTACTTGCATTTGGACCTGAGATGCAAAATAACCGAGCAGAAGCTCCACGCTGGCCTATGCCTTGCCTACAACGCCCCCTTCCCCCCCCCCCCCATCACCCGTTATTGCAGCTGCAGAACCAGGATTCTTTCCCATGACATAATACACGGGGAGGCAGACTGCGGTGAGAGGAAGTCCCAAGTATACGCAGATTTTCATGCCCAGGTTGCAGAACTCCACCATCAGTGCACTGTCCAGGCCTGCATGCTCTTCCACCTCCTCTGAGCTCAACCACATCCCAAACCACGATGGATAAGGCTCAGGCGCTTTTTGTATTGCCGTGTTGTGCAGAAATACCACCGGCTTCCACCGTTGAAATACCACGAACAGTGCCAGGTAGGCACAAATCAAGCCTACGTTGAAGAACAACGAAGCTCGCAAGGCCTCTGAATCTGTCGCGCTATTGGCCTTCACTCCAAGTTGGTCCTGGACAATCTGGCTTCCATCAGCATCCTTCTTGGTACTGTTCCGATTTTGCCGATGACCCGGCCGCGTGCGATTCTGGCCGAAACTCAGCAGATTCGGACCAACAGCCGGGCGCGTCTGATTGGCAGCATCAAGCGTATGTTTGACTCCACTTGCATTAAACGTTTGTGCAGTAACCTGGATGAGGAACAAGTCAGGCAGGTCAGCAGTATCCACCCCTGACTCCCCTGATTCTGAGATTGCAGTGACGAGCGTCAATGTCAGCAGTCGCGCTGCTGTCAGAGTCAGCATGGGAGCCAATCACAGAAACTCAAATGAAGTCCATGGCAAGCGCTACAGCAAATATGTTCAGTCACGAATGTGGAGTTGGGGTACGGATGTCAATCGCTGAAAGCCAAATAGCCGTGCACGATATCGTGAAGTCTAACCCTGAAGCTTGCTTGCTTGCAAACTGATGCAAGTACTCACTTCCGAGCTCCAGGCAACGGTACCTTCGATAACGTCAGCCCCTGTCCAGCAAGCAAGCCGCGAGTCTGGCTTCTTGTCCCGCAGCTGTTTTTCGGTGTTCATTCCAGGCCGCAAGGCGCACGCACGATAGCTGCTCCAGTCGCTCACGCTTGGTCTCAACGTCAAGACCAAAAGTAGGTGTGCTCCTGTAAGACATGTTGTTGGCATGCTTTGTGTTCATGTTGTGTGCATGCTTACATTGCTCCAGGTTCTGTCAGCGGGTACGATTTGACTTAGCTTTGACAATCTCAGTCTGCTCCCAAAACCTTCCAAGAAAAAGACGGATGCCCGGAGAATGACGAAAACTCGAGGATGAAAGAAAAAGAGCGAGAGAATGGCTTGCTCGGATTCTAGGCGTAGCCCGTTCGCTGTTGTCAGAACTGATGTGGGCATCTTGCTAAACTTGAAGATTTGGGCTTTGCATTCGCGATTGAATGCTGGTCTAATGAATTAACATATAGGTCAAAACAAACTGCACATAGTCCGCTGCCAACGCTGCATTTCTGAGCCCACCTGGTCTGTGAGAAACGGGCTCCAGAGTTGTCTCCTGCAGGCACCAGCTCGACACATCCGACTCATCTGACTTTACGCCACTGCGACCGCCGTCGTCCGTGTGCATGCGTGTGCATGTGTGCGTGCGTGTGCGCGCGCAAGGTTGACCGGGGGGACCATCCAGCTCCTATATGCGTGATAGTCCAACGAAGCAAGCATAGCAACTGCGGCTATCCTCACTAATTCTCTTGATCTGCGTAATTTGTCGCACCGTGATTACCTTCACTGTGTAGGCCGAAGCCCCTACTACGAGCTCACCAACTCAGCAATATGGGATCAAAACCAGATCTCACACCAGGCACAAACGACATCCTCAACCAGTGACACTACGACCTCGTCATGATGAACACCATCACCATGCATCAAGATAGTGGTGCTGCCCAAACAAACGAAGAGGAAGACAACGATTCATTTCGGAGAGCAGGGCACGATCAAACCTGGCCAACAAATACAAGAACGCAGAGCATTCTGCCAGCAATCCTTTGCGACTAGTATAACATCCATGCACACTGTGCAGGCTATATACTATATGATGATAGATTAGTAAGACTTATCGCTGCTATATAGAACCTGGAGTCCGTTCTTATTTCTTCGTCAATATTCCTGTTTCCGAAGTGCGGTGGGAGTGGTGCAGTATGTCAAGATTCAGATGTGTGCAGAGCATGTTGCCAGCCCGCCCTTGTATGAGAATATGTTGCTTTTAGTTTGCCTTTCATATGCCAGTCATCTGGGATTTGACATCTACCTTCACCAAGAATTTGCATCATGACCAGAACACTTTCCCAGCAGATCATCTTTTATGAAAACATTGGAAGTATTCCGTCCTGGAACATGTGTGCCAGTGTGTCGTGGTATGTCTTGGGTGGTAATCAAGTTGCAAGATGTTGCAAGTCTTGGTCCGGCCTTGCTTATCTGGAGGACAATGTCCCGACCTGCTTTTACCTCACATACACAAGATTACGCAAGCACGAGACATGCGAGCATTGCGCTCACAACTCGAGCACCAGGCGGTAATGGTGTTATCCTGCGCAGAACAAGGACACCCAAACAACTCTTAGACTTCTTGCATGTTGCGAGAGACCGTCCTTTTCAACGGCCGTCAGTGCCATGGACCCACCGGGCGCAGGAGCCTGAAGCCACCGTCATGTGCCATGTAAGAAGGCATTTTCGCAAGTGACAGGTGACATTCTGCGTCTTTGCCATGGGCGGGAGATGTGTCGACATCCCACAGCCTCAGGCAGGAGTCAGGACTCCTCAATTCCCATCTGAGAGTTATTGGGTCAGCAGCTTTTAAACGGAATTTGAAATCACGAGGCGAAGAAGTATGAGATTGTCAACATCATCCAGGCTGGTATGCAGTAGCATCCACAGGTATTGAAAACAAAAAGCGCTTGTGGTCATTATGGTTCTACCCTCCAAGCTGTGCTTGGTAGGGTGGCCGCCGCTCTTCTTTGCACTTCGCAGCGATGTTCGTGGACCCTCAGCGAACTGGGTTATGTCTTTGACAATGGCAAACTGTACCGCTTCAAGGCCAGAAAAACGAATTCTTACACGAGCTGCGCTGTTGAAATCTGATGACGCTTCCTCTGGAAGCGCATCACTCAAATGCTTCATTCTGACATGCACTGGACCGATAGAACTGACAGTGGTATTCCTATGACTCCGCTACCGGTGGCTCCTTTGACTCGAGAGTAATGCCGAGGAGACGCTCACTCAGCACTGCCAGCTCAGCACGAAGCCGCTGCAAGTTTTGGGTCAAGTGGTCATAAACCATACGTGTTTCTCGTGTTACCACAAGCATGTCGATGGCCTTCGCAGGCCCCTGGAGCCTTATGCATCCGTTGAGAAACTCCTCAAAATCAATGGATCCACTATTATTGATATCCAGCATGTCGAAGAGAAATTTGGCTTCGGAGGGTTCGATGTCAAGGTCTTTAAAGAAGTCTTGCACAGCATGATCCTTGGTGTGATTCAAGATCTCATTGTAAGAGATCTGCCCACTTTGGTTGTCGTCCAGGGACTTAAACAGCTTCCTGGCCTTCATGGCACGCTGAACATCTTTCACCTCCTCGGACCGAGTGATGGCACTCTGTACAAACCTGCCGACTGTTCCATTCGGAATCCCCAAAAACAAACGTAATGTGACAAGCTTTGTGACCTTAACAACTGGTTGGGTTTTTGCTCGATTAAGAACAGACCAGCTGCAATCAAGAAACGTTCCAGTGACAACGTTGAGGACTCCCACAATGCAGAAAGCAATGTATGTCACAATTCCAATGCCCACAAATGTACTGAGCTCGAATAGTGGCGAGACCAGGGCATCCCAGTCCACCCCACCTGTCATGGCCTCGAAGAGGGACAGCATCGACCGCGGCACCGAACCAAAAAAGTTTTCAAGACCATGGCCCTGTTCGCTCTCGACGCGATAGAATAGGACCAACTGCGTTATGTAGATGCCTGCTATGTAGAGCATCAAGCCCAACAGAACAAAGGTCCAAAAGAAGGGACGGGAGCAATAGAGAAGGCAGCTGACAAGCAGCCTCAAGTCTTCCGCCATCAAGGCGATGCGCAGAATCCGCAGCACTCTGACAGCCCGAAGGATGCGTGCAATTCTCAGCAGGGTGGTGGGGGAGACCTGTTGAAGAACTGGAGCTGAAGGATCGTTACCCGATATTGCCAACAAGAGCTCCTCCATGAGTTGGAAGCCAACAAGCAACAGGTCAAAGACATTCCATGCCCAGCCGACCTGGGTAAAAAACTCCAGCCGGTGGGCCACCAGCCGAACACACAGCTCCAGGGTGAACACGATGCAGTACGTCACCTTGGGGGAATTGCAGACAATGGCACGCAACGGCCTTGAAACGTGTGCCAACACGCGAATGTGCTACACTGCAACTAGCTGCAACTACAACTGCCGGATCCTTGCAACGTCTGTTTCTGAAAGCGGCCCTACTTGCTTTTTTGGCTGTCAAAACTCACCTCCAGCACTCGATGGACAAAGGTGGTCTCTGTCGCAAGCCGGTCAGCCATGTCATTGGTAGAGAAACCGATTTGCAAAGCGCTAGAGCAAATCAGCAGTATCGTCAGGATCTCAAATGAACTGCTCGTAGCTATGGCATAGCAACGGCGATGAAACTCGGATCGAAAGACTTTGGCTTGGAAGTCCTCTGCTCCAGCGACGAGGCCCATCCCACGCCCCACCACGTCCACTGTCTCGGTCTTCCTTTCAAAAAGGTTCAGCTTTGCATCTTCGCGCTCGAGGCCCTGTGCCCACTTCAAGTCCTTTTTCGACAGTGTTCTTGGAATCCCTTCACTGTCAAAGGTCGGTCCGCTCGTGGCATTGGCTTCGTGGATCTGGTCTGTCTCTGGCTCTGCATCGACGAGAACGATCTTCTTTGGTGGTGCAGGGATTTCTGGCACCGTGCCGGGCACGTCGGCCGGGAGGATGAACTCCTCGACGCCTTCGGAGGCAGTTTCTACACCGTCGATGGATGTCTCCCGCTGCGGAGGCTTGAGCTGAGCGAGCGGAAGCTCATGAACCTCTTGAGAGCTTGTGCCACTCCACGAGGTTGGAAGGGAGAGCCGTCTGCGCCTGACAATTGGAGTAACCTCGGAGGCCATGGCTGAAAGCTTTCTGACTCTATCACTGACAGCAGCTTTGAACATGTTCTTGCTCATCGGAGTCCCAGTCAAGCTGTGCGTGCCGAACAGCTCGCTCTGCGGATGGGCCTCCGCCTTTTGCAGTTGGTCTAACACCGCGGCGACCTCCTTTCGCAGCCCATGAAACTCCTCCTGCAGATAATCTCGAAGTGCGTCGAACGCTTCGTCATGGCCGAACGCCATCAGGTCAACTGGTGCGTAATTGCCGCTTCGGCAAAACCAAGTACCATTTGAGCAAACATGCAGATGCAACCTCTGGAAACTCTGCGTCTTGTGTGCGCGCGCTGGCGTGCCATCAAGTCTGAGCATCCCAACTTCTGCGGGCATTCCAGATCTACGTACACTTAGTGAGTCGAAAAGCACACATGCTGCATCATGCTGCCGAGGTGCTTATCCACCTCTGCTGGATCCTTACCGCGCGATGCCATCATAAGCGCCCAAACAGCCCGACGCAAGAAACAGCTTTGTCAACTTATTGCTTATGGTAAAGACGTATGCCGCATGGATCCCATACAGGTGCCTGGTGCTCCAAAGGACCCCACCTTGTTGAGCAGCGGCGGTTCTCGAAACAAGCTATCAGGAATAGCGCCATCATGCTCCTGCACAAGTCAGATCACAGCTTGCAGAGTCGCTACAAGATGCTGCAAGCTACGAGCTTAGTGCACCCTTCACACCTGGGCTAACCAATCCTACACCCTCCGAATCATTACACTACAACTACTTAAACTTGAATGATGCTGATCATAAAGCCGAAAATCCGCAATGATGCAGACTGTACATGATCTTCAACCTACAAAGCGGTTACCTCCCAACCCTAACTCGAAATGATAGAAAGCAAGGACCCACCCAACTGGCAATGAAGCGAATGAAGAGCAACTCTCAAACCTCTGCTTCGACGTGCAGAAACCCCAAGAAATCCTGACACCCTTGGCCTAAACGTAACCCCAGCGTCCTTTCAAAGAAAACTGCTCGCTCTCTGCTCGCACACTCTCAGCTCTGATATCATGCGCCCGACCGTGTCTGCCTCGATAGGGGGCGGTGTAGGCTGCGAATCCTGGCAAGATGGCTGCAACGAGTAAGAAACCGGGCAGTCTGCGCACAAGAAATGCTCCAAGCGTCTCCTGGCTGGGCTGCTGGGGGGTCGCACCTTCAAGTTACAGAACACAGTGCTGCAAGACTGGTCAAAAATCATCTTAGCAATGAACCTCGCAGTCTCGCGATTTCAGCACTTTGTTCTGCGATCCTGATTCCAACACGAGCTTTAACTCCGCACAAAAGTTCATGGGACTCACATGTCCGACATGTCCTGCTTCTTTCAAGAAGGAGCTGCTGTCTGAGCCGCTCAACTTCTTCCTCGTTGCTCTGAAGACTCCCGCAGTGGTGGCACCAGTTTAGCCAAGCTGAGTCAACAGCGGAGGATCTGGATGTCTCTGGCCTTTGGATGGATCTCTTCTGCTTAACTGTGACGCTGGATGCGACAAGCATACAGAAGGATAAGGGCAAAGCGCACTGGAAGGTTCATCGCCTGATTGTCAGCTCGAGCACGCGGCGCGCCGATGTCAGAGCCACAAAGCTGTTAACTCTTTTTTCTGGCCGCTCTGAGCCTGTTGGCTTTTGACGCGTCCAGAGTCCAATCTCGAAGCTCTGCGACGAAAGAAAAGGCCTCAAGAGCGAATGAAAAAGCCATCCTTACGTCTACTCGCACAAGGCCTATGGCCGTAAGCTAAGGGCTGCATCCTCTTCAGTGACGGATCATCACTGGACAACGGCCTCCGTCAAGGCAGGGACGGGGGCTCATCAGCAGTGTTCCTTTCCGTGAGTAATCTACGAAGCGTCCTTACCCTACAGGCAGGCTTGCAGCTCGCCTCTGAAAGGAAGAGAATTCCACTCCACAAGGCCCCGCTACCCCTCCCTCATCCCGAAGTAGAACCCACTCTCTGCTGAATTCGCGTTTCTTCAATCAAAGCAGCCGATACGCGGGTGTCCAAAGTCCCCCTGGGGTTTTTCATGGGTCCCGCTGCTCGCGGGGTGTGACTTCGGATTTCAATCCTTCTGCGTGCAGCGCCAAACCCAAACCCGACAAGCTGCTAGAGCACCAGCGCTAGTTCTGCAGCATTGTTGTTTTGGTCTTCGGGCTTTTCATTCTCGGTTCCGATTCACTGGTGATCAAGAGGAGTCCCTGCCAAGTCCACTGCAGGGACGTGGCGTCTCTGCTGCCGTTTGATCAGATCGTCTTGCGGAGCCTTGGATGCCTTGGAGAAACCTTTTCATACGAGGCACGGCGACGCCAGGTTCCTTCTGTTGAACTGTCTGCTGCTGCTGCTGCTGCTGCTGCTGCTGCTGCTGCTGCTGCTGCTGCTGCTGCTGCTGCTGCTGCTGCTGCTGCTGCTGCCACAACTTGTGAAAACTACCCTTTTGTTATGAGCCCCGAATACGCAAGACAGCTGCCTCAACCTTCGAAGTACAAACGGTTCTGGGTTTTATCTTTGCCCGTTGGCGTGAAACCAGTTCCCGAATCGTTTGGTTTCTGAATCACGGTTTCCTGAATCGCGTGAAAGCGGTTTAGTGAATCGCGTGGTTTCCTGAATCGCGCGTTAAAAAGCCAGCTTCTTACTAAACCACGCCATGTTGCCCCCACTTTGACAACATCATCCGCTATTGTGCGAACTTTGAACACAGTATTCAGCGATCCCATATTGATAACGGGCCCCGCAATAATGCGAGGTTCTTGGGCCGGGGATCTCGAGGGGGGAGAAAAGGCAAGCGTCAAGGCTTGGCCAGTTTCCAGCTTCAGGTTCGAGTTTGAAATGAATTAACATTTTGCTTACGAAACAATGCTCCAAACGATTTCCAAGGGAGGAAGTAGCCCAAGAGCTGCCTCGTGCTCTTTTGTATATTGCTTGGGTGGTCTGGAGTAATCCGCAGCCTATTGCTCCGAGGCAGAACCTCTGAATCCCCCAACTCCCCAAAGGCTAAGCCGGCCAAGCTCCCCTCAACCTCTCAAGCCCTCAAACCTCGACCCCTTAATCCAAACCTTCTTCTTGGCGTGTCCAACATCTGAAAATTGTTTGGGAAGGGGGGAGCCTAAATACTGAAGCGAGGGAATTCTTCGTCTCCTGAATCACCCGATTTCCTGAATCCTGGTTCCCTGAATCGCATCCAGTTTCTTAATCGCGCGGTCCAGTTTCTGAATCGCACGGTGCAGTTTCTGAATCTCGCGTCGTTCAGAGCAGAAGACACGTGTGGCTGACGGACTCTCGTGCGCCTCTCATCCTCGGAAGCTTCGAAGGATGCGTAGAGCACCAGGCAGAGCCCACCAGCAACTGAGGCAACTGGGTTTAAAATAGCTGGGCGCTTTGTATGATTTTCTCACTGCCCCCCTTCTGAGCATTGCAAAACTGTCTCTTTATCTGAGGTCGCATCTGCACAAAGGGATGATGAATTTCCAGCAGCTGGTCCTCACAGGGTGCTCGTATCGCGTCAGCGTCGCCCTCTCAGATGCTTCTCTCCTCTGCTGCGGGTAGGCATTGAACCTGTTCGACAACATCGGTCCACGTTGGACATCAATCACACCAGGTCAATGCAAGGATTCTGAGTCTTGGGCATTGCCCCAGAGGGCCCAAGGCCCGCTCCGCTGGCCTGCGTTGCTGCCTAAGATTTGCACAGGAAAGTGCAGAAAGCCAACATCCAGCATCCTTTGTGGAACGTTCAGAACATGAGATCTACTGCACTGTTGCGCGTACCTATCAGAACCAACAGCACATTCAAACCATCACTTGGGCACCTGCTATGTATCACTACCTCGGCAAGGACTGCACCGTTTTCTCAGACGAAAGGGCTACAACGCAAAATGCCTTAGGATCTCATAGAGACTGTGGGGAGTCACTAAGTACATGCCTCAAGTAATGAAGCGAACATAAATGGGTCCCAGGGTGGGAACGAAGCTGCTGCTCGTCCACAATGGCTGTCACTTGGGAACTCGCGGAGTGGCTTCAGTTTTGTTTTAAATGGCATCCGCCATCAGCTGCCGGATTCTTAGCTGCCGCTCGGTTCTCGCAACCAGACACGTGCAACATCTTCATTTCTTGGCGAGACCGGAAGCCATGGCCGCGCTGTACGCGATTTCGGCCCGGAACGTTCCCTAGGTGCTCATCAGGCAGCCGTTGCAGGGTCTGTAAATAACCCACCAAACAGTAGCCGGCTCCGTCCAAGCAGATGGTGGGTCTAACGAACATGATTAGGAGCTTCGATTGTTCAAAGGATTCTGTGGTGTTCCTAGCCCGAGGAAGATTTACGCAGCAGAGGATAGTCCCAAAGCCGCTGCATCTAGTGAATCTGGATGATGTCGCCAATCGGTGTCCCTCGAAATGGAGTCCGAGGCAGGCTGCTTTGCCTGCCTCTGCGAATGAGGCGTGGTGAGAAGAAAGGCTTCGCAAAATCCACCTGAAACAACGAGAGCTTGGAGGCCATCAGATCACAGGAAACGAGGGTAAGCTTGGCCAAGAATACAAATCCAAATCGTGGAACATGTTCGCAACTTCTCGCGCAGGAGCCGACACTGTGCTCACTGCCGGAGTTCGACAAACTACTACACGCCTTACGCGCCTTTCGCGCCTTTCGCGCCTTACGCGCCTTACGCGCCTTACACTTCTGCCACCTGGACTTGACAGTTGACTGGAAGCGCAAGAAGAAATCAAGGAGCGTTGTGTTTCTCTTCTTGTTGTTCACTGCATCCAAGCTTGTCTGCACATGTCGCAATGACTAAGACCTGACTCACATCCGATTGCGAAACTTCGTAACTACTGTGAGGGTTTTTGCCCAGACTGGTCATCCACAGGCCAGAAGGAGAAAGGGAGACAAAGAGAGACAAAGCCAGAGGGTCATTGCGCAGCTGTTCGTTGCCAGCAAGTTGCTCACATTCCATCTCTTGCGCAAGAGTAAACTGTCCTACGGACATGCCAACTGATGCAACTTGAGCCAAGAAGAATGCAGCAAGAGATGTACCATGCTGCGCAAGCTGCAATGCCGGCTGGACAAGAAACCTCTGGCTTCATATTTTGGCGACCGCCGAGTCGGGAACACGAGACCACGAGGCAGAAAGCACAAACACTGCGAATCCGAAAAGGCAGTGGGAGAACAGGAATTGAGCCCTTGAAACCCTGAAACCTTTAAAGTCCTGAAACCTTGAATACACCTAGCAGCCCTACCCCTTAAAACCTTCAAGTCATGGACCCTAACGCCCTTTCTACCTATATGGCTTTAAATTTCACAGTCCCTAGAACCTGTGTCCAAAACCCTGCACCCTTTAAAGCCCTAAACTCGAAGCCCAGGCCAAACGATAGTTCCACCTTCTTTCGTCAGACCCTAAACGGTCGGATTTTCTCGTCTACACTGTATTTGCTCCACAAGTCGACTGCTTCTGGACCATCAAATGTGAACGATGTCTTGCATAAACCAAAGCCGAAAAACCCTGACCCAGGAACCCCAAACCCTGAACCGAAAACCCTGAGCCCTAGCACATCCGAGATCATAAGCCTTGCCTTTGCAGGGTATTCTCTGCCCTGAACCCTAAACCCCAAACCCTAAAGCCTGAAAAGCTTAAACTCGAACTCCAAACACCTAAAACCCTACCACATCCAAGACCATGACTTTTCAGGACTCCGGGGTTTGCTCTGGGGAGGTCTTTTCTGCTTTCGCCTTCTGAGCCTTCTCCCGGCAAAGCACAAAGTGCGCTTCTGAAGGTTGTAGGCGGCTCCCGACTCAACTCGATGACCTCGATCTCGACCTGTGGGTTTGGGGTCTAGGGTCTAGGGCTTTTTGGGTTTTTTTGGGTTTTGGGGCTCAGGTTTCAGGGTTTGGGCTTAAAAGTCTGCAAGGGTGTTTTCGACTCAGGCGAGGTAACTCGAGAGCACATTTCCTGACTTGACGGCCTCTCCTGGCTATATGCTGCTTGCTTGTCAAAGCGCATATTGTCCTGGAAGGCATATGTGCTACGCCGGGTACATCCTACAAAGCAGCAGGAAAGAATCACAGTTGCAAGCGCAGTGGTACAGCACAAACTGATCTTCCACATGCGAAAGAGCAGAAGCACAGGAAATCTCAGGAATATGTATCAGAGACCATCCCCAATGTACCTTCACAACCTCCTGCCTCAAGGCAGCAGTGTCGAGGAGAAGGCAGAAGGATCGCAATCAACCCTTCCCGACTCGGCATGCCAAAAAGGTTCCAGACACAGCGTGCGCGTCTCCTTCTCGATTCAGTCGCTTCGAAGTAGAGCAGCTACTGTGCGGCAGATCTGCAACGCACTGCTTGCACTGCTTGTTCGGAGCCGCACCGCGCCTTCGTCACGGACAAGCTCTCCACATTGGGACAAGGCGTCCAACATGGTCCAACATTTCCAACACAGGCCAACACAGGTTCTACGGGTTTACGGCACGCAGAGGTGCATCAAGTTGATACACCTCTGATTGCCACACGTCATCCTGAAGGGCTCCTTCGGCAGCGAAGACAATCGAGCAAAAGACTCGTCATCCACGAAGAGCGCAGCCAGCACTCGATTAACGTAGGTTTGCATTGCTGGTGCATCCTCGCGCTCTATCCACAGAAAAGCCTCCGACACATCCGAACACTCACCATGCCAAAGAACATCGGCGTCACCTTCCCGAAAATCAGTGTCGGCATCTGTGTTCTCGGCAATCTGGTGGAGCACTGAATCCAATGACTCCACACTAGAGAAGAAGTCCATTGCCCGCTCATGAAGAGCCTCTTTCCATGCAGAAACCGTTGTTGCCACTTCCTCCTCACTTCGAACTCTGCGGACAAACTGGACACTCTCTTCCGAGGTCTTGCGAGTGCTCTGAGTGCTCTCGGCCAAGCCATCTTGATTCACGATCTCCACTGAGTGGACTGCCTCTTCAAAGTGCTCTCCGAAAGCATCCTTCAGACGGGCTTGAGCCAGCCGCAGATTCTGCAAATGACGTAAAAGTTGCAAGCGCTCATCAGTGCAGTCCTCAACCCATTGGTCCTCTGACAATTTCTTGCAGATGTCATCAACTCGAACAGGCAGCCCGGTAAAGAAATCCTCAAGAAATCGATGGAAGTGTAGACTGCAGCGCCATGCGATCTGCTTTGTATCGAGCTTCAGTGAGAAGCTGAATGCAGATGCTAGACGCTCTACGCGAGCGAACGGGCATGCCTCCAGCTGGTTGACAATGCCTAGTGCCTCACGGATGCCTTTGAGGGGAAAAGTCGTGAAGACTGCCTCTCCGGGCACACATTCGTGCATGTTCATTTCTTGCCAAAGATTTGCCTGCAGAGATGCGATCGCTAGTTTCATCCTTCCAATACGTTCAGGCGTAGCATCTGCCTGCAAAGCAGCATCCAACCTTGACTGCACATGTTGCTTTAAATCCTGCACAGCGTGTAGCATCTCGTGCTCGACCTTGCGGAAGCAGGCGTCAAGCTGCTTCTGCCAATCAAGTGTGCGACTGCCAGGCGGTCCGAGGGCGACGGCTTCCGGAAGCACGCTCAGCATCTGATGCTCGAGGCGCGTGACCAGGTTGTGAATGAAGCCACCGGATTGCCAAGGATTTGCAATGACGCCTGCAAGGATTACCTGAAACCGCTTAGAAAAAATGTCTGCAATCATGGGACTGGACAAGCCTCTGTGTCCGTACTTGTGCTTGTCACCTTGGCCGCCTTGGCCACCTTGGCCGCCTTGGTCGCCTTGGCCTTCAACACTTCCATCTTCAAAGGAAGCTACCGCACGAAGAGAAGCAGGAAGCAGATCAGTTTGAAAACAGAGCTCTGCAATGTGATGAGGGGCCATGGCCCTCGGCAGACCTAAAGATTGCTCACGAGTTACCGTCAACGCCTCCTGTTCTCGAACCAGCTTGATGGTGTCATTTAGCCAGTTGTCACGGACAAACTTGTCCACGGCATCCTTGATATGCCGCCACAGGCTGTTACAAGTCGTCCGCTGCAGCAACAGTTGACTTAACTCTGCTTCAGGGGTGTGACTCTCCTTAGAATTCGCGATCGCCCATTGAGCCGCAAGCTGCTTGAAGTATCGCACCTCCCATTGTGCCATGGCATCCACACGTGAAAGATTCAACCAGCCTTTGTCTTCACAAACATCGTTCAGGGCCGTAAGCGTGTAGCCCAGTGCAAGTGGCACTCCTCCTCCTGCGTCCGATGCCCCCTGCAAAAGCTGCAGAAGACGAGGGCCATGATGCTTCAGAAACGTTGCATGCAAGGTAGTCTCCCCATCTGTAAGATCTCCCGTCAACACATCAGTCATCGTCAGCACACCAAGAGCTCTGCTCTCAAGCTTGAGCTCCTGCACTAATCGCATGGCCAATGAGTTGTTGGGCTGCTCTGATGCCTTCACAGCAACTACAAACAAAGCTGAATCCCGATGCTTCTTGGCAAAAGTTCTCACCAAAGCTGCAGTCTCTTGTGCCACATCTGTCGGACGGCCTCGCGCAGAGGCTGCAACCAAGCCTGGGCAATCCACAACATCTAGATTTGGCGCCTTTGGTGAGCTAAGCTCAATGACCAGCACCTTCTTTGTGCAGAGTCCATCCGACGGCTGCAGGGGAGCATCGCTCACCGTTGCATCGTAGAAGTCGGAGCTCTTATCTGGCATTTCCTGCCGCAAGGATTCAAGTCGAACTTGTCGTGTCATCTCTTTCATCACCGCAGCACCCAGCTCGTCAAGCTCAACTTCCCTTCCGTCTTCGTCATCAAAGCGTAGCGAGAGAATGTCCTGCACAAGTAGCCTCAGCTTTCGGGCAGGCCCTCTTCGCAAGCACACCTTGATGAGAGAACGAGTACACAGGTCCGCGTTTCTGGGAAAGATGGGTAGACCCGTCAGCCTTTCCAGGAGGGTAGACTTCCCGGTGCTCTCCTGGCCAAGCATGATAACCTGTGGTGCACTCCAGTGCTCACGTTCCACAAGTTCCTTCAGCGGGTCGATGACATCAAAAAACCCAGCACATCGTTCGGCGCTCCACGTCTCCAGAATGCCGGAACGCTCGTTGAAGAGGACTGCCTTTAGCTGCTCGTTAAACTTCTCTGCATCTGGAATGGAGGCCAGGATGGCATCAACATCCTCTTGCCGGCTCGCCTTACACTTGCGGATGTCCAAAGTTTCCCGAACTCGGGCCACCTCGGCTGCAGCACTGGCCGGTACTACACTCCTGCGAGCAGCTGCCTTCTGCAGCCTCTCTGGGGCCGGGAAAAGCATGGCGACCTGGTTTAACTCCAACTCTTGGCCTTTGGCGATTTCAGCCATCACCCAGATGCGGGTAAAAACTTCAAAGGCCTGGTCGACCACAATGATGTGACTTAGCTTTCGCTGGACAGCTCCCGGCACCTCCTTGTCCAGCACTGCCATCATGGCGTCAAACTTGTCCTCATGTCAAGGGACTGGGGATGCGCAAATGTCGTCCTAAAAAGGACCCCGAAAGTAAGAACATCCAAATCATCCAAGCAGCCATCTCGCAGAGCGTCGAGTTGTTCCAGTGCTTCGTCGTATCACAATCACAAAGCCTGAACTTTTCTCCCGTCACGGGATCATGGATCTCTCGATGATGGGATTCCAAGGCCTTTATGTGCTCCTCCTGCTGCTGTGCATCAGGCGCCGGAGCTGAGGGCAATCCACTGCAAATGCTGGCATGTTGGTTGACGCAAAAAAGGCAGAGCCAGAACGTCATATGCAGCGCATCTCGGCGATCTAACCGTTGACGCAGGCCTTCAAAGTCACCGTCCTCTAAGGCAGTCACTGTAGCCGCATAACTCGTCTCCCCCAGAGCATATGCAATTAAGGCGGCCACCAAGTGGCAAAACAAATTCCTCCAGTGGTGGGAAACCATGATTGTGGCGAGCACCGGCTTGTTTGCTTCTGCCAAGGTCGAGTACGCACAACTTCCGAAGGGCGTGACTTTGGTCGCAGGAATGATAGCAGCGCGCACGACGTCGTGGGTTGTATGCTTCTTGGGGTCAAAGTGCGACATCAACTGAACACCACCATCACCATACAATGTGCCCTCAGCCAGGCTCTGGTAAAAGCCGAGAACATGCCCCAGCTTCAAGCCCCGTCGCGCCAGGTCTTGCACTTTGGAAAACCATGCCGTCTCTGCTTGGCCAGTTTGGCCACCATCAACGCCGTCGCCCTCCTCGACAAGGACAGCACTGCATCAAGCATCAGATTCGACTAAGCATGTCGATTCCAGGACAAAACAACAAAGGCTGAGCAAATCTCGTACGCCTCGGCCACGATGATCGATCCACCGCAACTGCTACCACTGGCCCATGGGTCTGCACCGGCCATCTTCCGCATGTACGGCGAGCGATTGTCTCTTCCTGCTCGGACACTGTCAAAGCTACGGGGTGATAAACAAAACACAAGTAAACATCCATCCCTGGCACCACTGCCGCCAATCCTGTCTGCAGGCTTCCACCACTGCCTCCCGTCCTGTCTGCAGGACCGCCTGCGCAAGAACAAAGACAGCGCAAACAACTCGAACAAGCATGGCTTGACTGGCGAACCGAAGCAGCTAAACAGCTATGGCACTTGACTTGGAGCCTTGCTCTCGCGGGTATCGAGCTTCACCACTATTCTCGCCACCACCGTGAGGCTGTTGTGGCTGCCTCGACTGCACCTGCGGGGGCTGCAACTGCACACAGAATTTTTGCAAAGGCAAAAAAGCATCCCTGACTCTTCTGCATCCTGAACTGCCATGTCTCCACATGACTTGCAGTACAGTATCGTATTCAACATGGAATTTGCCTCCTTCAACTCATGGGCTGCGCATCCGGCAGCTGGAGGGTCACGCTCGCCAGGCAAGCTGCCCGGGGCCACAGGGCTGCTGTCGCTTTCATGTGTCTCATGCGGCGCCTCCGCAGACTCTTGTGGCGCTTGCGGTATCACTGAGGCTGGTGTTGAGTCCTCAGGCGACACTGGAAGATGCCGAGGTTACTAGGCCACGCAGCTTCGACCCTCTGGAAATCGCTCAAGTCTAGGGGCACCATGCTTCGTCCTACTTGAGAGCCACGGGCTGGGACGAAAGCTCTAGTAGGTCCAGGACTGGGGACACGGAGCTAGCCAGGAAGAGACAGGCGCCGAGAGATCAAAGCGCCGACCCAATTCATGTGGCAAAGTCAAAGGTTAAAGCGAAGCGGTGCTTCAAGTGAGCCACCATGCACAAAAGTAACACAAAGTTACAGGAAGTTACACAAGTGTACCTACCGTGTATAGACAGACACGGCCAAAAGCTCGGAGGTCAGACCGACGACACATACGGGTGTTGAAAGCGGTGTGTCAGATTTCAAACAGGGAGGAGGACCCGGACCAACTGAAGAGGTGCTTCGAGAGTGACCGCAGTTATTGGCGACTGTCGTGCAGACCCTGCTGCGCCTTTTTTTGGCAGATTTAGGCCTGCAGCGACCCGCCAAAGCACGCCGCCCTGCGAGCAGCATCAGCCCGGTCCCGCTTCTCCTCGGAGAGGCATAAAAACGAGTCCACGCCGAGGACCCGAAAAATGCTCCAAAAAACCGTTTTGGGCAACCGCCCTGGGCCCCAAATTCGCCCGGGGACGCCGCGAAAATGTCAGGGTTTTTTGACCAGCCCCCCCCCCCCCCCACACCCCCCCATGGCTCCGCCCCAGCCCTGACGGGGTATTAAACGAAAGCTCTCCAGGGGGAGCTTTCGTGATATTCAGCATGTTTCATTCGTAGCCCTCAGGCATAAGTGGGACGAAGGCATGAGCACTAAGACCAACGTCTTACAGTCTAGTGCCGATTGGCTGCATGATTCGGGTCGTGTCTTGACTGCCAAATCAGCAACCAAGCATCGGAGGCAGCTACTGGCGCCTCTGGCTCAACCGCTTCGGGCACAAGCGCTGTGGGCTTGCAAAAAATCCCGCGCTTCTTCTTGCAACTGAAGTAGCGGACTCCATTCCTGAGATAAAACATGACTGATACGTATGCGATGGGAGGGACAGAACCGACTACAAACGAGCAGTTCGTGTAACACGTTTCTCTGCTTTGTGCCAAGCCCTGCCCTGAGCACTGCCGAGCGTCAAACTGCCATCATTCTTTCCAATGGGCCTGTCTAGCTCGACCCCAACCCAGTCTCCAGGAGCGAACTCCGTTCTTCCAAGAAATCGTATTGTACCTGTCAAGCTCACCTTACATGAGGCTCCAACGCCTCCCGCATGCGAATAAACAAAATCGAACAGTAGCTTAGGGCTTAGAATAAGGATCTTTGATGATCTTTGTGCATCCATAGAGCACTTGTGGAGCGTGCTTCTCCGGAGGGTCCGGAGGGTGAAGAGGGACCCGACAGGCAGACTCTGGCCCCGAGCTTCCATGCCATGGCTAAGCGGTGGGAACATCCACCCACACCTCTCACCGTGCTCGCATAGCGGCATAGCGCCCCCTCACTTCCACATGGCAGGATGAAGCGTGTGTCTCGTATGTTCCCCGCACATGTACTTGCTCCACACCTTGATCCTAGGGGAAGTCAGGAACAGGAGCTGTGCTCCTACAACATCTGGCGACTCGTTATCCGATCAGCTCTCTGCATCTTCTTTTGCCAACCCTACGCAATGTGCGTTTGGGCCTGTTGGTTCCCAGTGCCTCTGCGGCATGCTATCTGAGCTCGAAAACCTCCATGCGGGGCTTTCGCCCGGGGATCTTCAACTCAAATGTCGCACGGTATCCTCGTGAAAACTCATTATGGCGCTCCAGCATCATCCTGCCTGAGATGGATACACCGCCACCAGCTTCAACTGGATCACGAAAGTAGAACACAGTCTGTTTCCAATGAGTCGCCGGCTTCAAAGGAGAAGTGGAAAGCTGCCACCCAGCATCTCCGAACTCACACTCAAACCATGTGACCATGCCATCTAGCCGAGTGCCAGCTGGCAGTGTGAATGCAACATCGGTCTGAAATCTGTCTAAATCTTCGCATTTCACCGTCTGCAAATCCAGGTGCGCAATTTCAATGGCATCTCCCAACAGCACTGCGGAATTCACCAAGCGATGTTGAGGCACTGAGCAGAAGGTGGCGGTGGCCAGTGGCACCAGTGCAGACATATCGATGCCGCAGACAGAATTCCAGAAGCCCAGCTTCTCCTCTCGCCAGCTATCCTGAATCGGTGCCATCAACAAACGACATCTTGATGGCAGCATGACGCCACCTTTCTTGAGGTAGCGATCTCGCACAGATAGGACAGATGGCAGCATGTTCTCGTAAAGCAAGCAGTAGCCCATCCATTCGCTCACAATCACATCGGCTTTCTGGCCGTCACTCAGCTGGAAGTCCTCTGCGAGGCACTCGTGCACATGCACGGCTTGTTTGGTGTCGAAACCTCCAAAGTTGGTCTCCACGATCTGTCGCAGGAAGTGCGCGAGCCGAGAAGCCTCGATGGCATGGACCTGGACGTGTGTGGCCTGTCGGGCGCAGAGGATGGAAAGCAGTCCAGTCCCAGCACCGACATCGATCACGGTCACCTCACGGCCTTCCCAAGACCTCGCACAATGCTCAATGGCAATCCTGTAGGCCTCCACACGCGCGGTGTCCTTCAGCATGTCCTCGTGAATTCCCAGATCCGCGTAAGAGTCCAAGTATACCTCATCGTCCTTGTCCTTCGCCTGCTCCTTTGGCAGGGTGCGTTGTTCCAGCAGCTTTGAGAAAGATGCCATGTGTCCAGAGAGGCCTCCAAGCATGGCCTGAAACTCAGGGCTGAGGCCCGCCAGCCCCGGATCACTCTCATCTTCCAAGTCCATGTCGCGTACTTGAGAAAGACTTGAGAAGCTTGGAAAACTTTAGTCCACGAAGACCACAATTCACAACAGCGACACGGCTAGCATGGCCTAGCAGGTATAGCAGCGGCCCTACTGAGCTGAAGAACACCCCTGCCCCCAGTTCAACGTTGAGCTTGCCGAAGGGCGTGTGACTACAATCAGCTGAGCACGTCAGGGCCCAAAGTGCAAGGGGTAGTGATCGGGTAGTGGCAAGCGTCGATGGAAACACATCCGCAAATGCAACTGTGACATGACACAATGCACGGCTCGCTTTTCGCAGCGATGAGGAGAGCCTACCAGAAGTGCTTCCAAGAGAGTAGAGTTGCCGTGTTACCATCTCAGCAGAACATTCAGCTTGTCTTGTCCGGAAGTCCTGGAAACAGAGCACACGGTATCAACGAATGATGGGAAATCTCAGATTCGAACTTCGGTGAGCAAAGGCCTGCCGACTTGGGCCTGCCCTGCAAGCATCTAGCCTGACGTTGAGGCACTTGGCAGCCCTGCAGAATGCAACTTCATTCCACTGTTGCAATGCTCATGCTTGCGACCAAGGTTCGATAAGGCAAGCCAGCACAACCTGACATGATGATGTTGCAGTGCGTGGAAGCATGTGTGGGCTGGGGGGGATGCTGGAAAGAGAGCACATGTGCATTGCAACATGCGGAGGACAACAACAACAACAACACTCTCAACAATAATCAAAACAACAGTAAACGAAACAAACACACAAGCTCTCGAGCAAAAACTTTGAAAGACTGGCTTCAGCACGTTGGACTCCTTCCCGAAATGAAACTCCGGAAGGCTGCGTAAAGACGCGTAGATTGCTTAAATGCTTTTCCTCTGACCTGCCAAATATTTTGCACCTTTTCTTCATCATGCCTCACAAAGTCTGCAACACCATGATGGATAGCTAGAACGGGAGACTGGAGTTGTGGAGTGCTTGCGTTTGATTTTGTTTGTGCTGGTTCTGCTATGTCTGCTTTTTGTTGGGGGGGAGGGGGTTGGAAGTGGTGGTCTTATGAGGTAGATATACACTTTTCTATGTTTTTGAATATCGAAAACGATGAAGATGCCTTCTCTGATCTGTCATTCAAAACAAGAAATCTTTCAGTATCCTTGAAAATTGCACAAGCCGCCAACCGAAAGTTCCTAAACATTCTTCTAGTCTTGGTCTGAAAGGAATTCGCTTGGATGTCTAGGCCACCTTAGACGGCACGAGACCGTCCACAATCAGGCCTTGGCAGCCAATCGCATAGCGCCATGCACGCAAGCCCCCCCTGAAAACGACTTTTCAGCCTCTGCTCGACTCCATGTCAGACCCCAAACCTCAAACCCCACAACCGCACCACTCGTGAGAAACTCCTGTCACATACTCTTCTATGCTGTATGTTGCACCACGTTCTACTTTGGCCGAAATTGCAAAAAATCGTTTATGTTGTAGATTGACATGTACACTGTCTCATAATGCGATAGCATATATCGTGTTAAGTTACATAGAAGAACTTTCATTTGACATCGTTGCTCGGGCTCAACGTTCTATTGTATTTGTGCATCAGAGCACTTAGGGCTTAGAGCCTAGGGCTTATAGAGGATCTCCAACTACATGTAGGGTCGTCGACGAAATTCTGAAAGCACAAATGGACCACATGTTGAAGTCGAGAAACGAGCATCGACACTACGCAGGTGCTCCACTCCGGGACGTACCGGAAAGTGGACAGGATCAGCTGAACGCCGATGTACGCAACAATAAATGCCACACCATACCTGCAGCGCCCTACTGCTTCAGAGCCGAAGACTGAAGCGCAACCGATCATCACAGAACCACGGCTCCCACTCGAGCCACAGCTGACGTGCTCTCAATGTAACAAAACAAAACATCAAAAAAACAAGACAGTGCTGAAGGTGGCCAGGAGTCTTCAGCGCCTCAAGGCATCGAGACGGGCTAAGCTTTAGCCCTTTAGCCGTGTGTTCTCTGCTGGCAGTCATTTGCCTTATGCCTGACTCTGCCAAGTACGACATGGCGTAAGTTGCGCATAAAACACCCTAAGAAGGCCTCGATTTGTTGGACGAGATCGTGAACGATGAAGAATGCAGCACGAAGCGAGAAGACGGCCATAACCGTTGAGCTGTAGGCAATGAATTGGTTCGGCACCTGAACTCAGAATCCACTTCATGCCAGACTCATACCAATCCGTGAAACTTCCAAGCTCCTTTTGCATCACAGCATCCACAATTGGAAACCTGTACTTCCTTCCACTGGCATCTGAGCTTAGGCTGATAGGCACTGATAGATATGCTGCATCAGGAAGTTACTTCTCAAAGGTTTCTTCTCAAGAAGCGGCACTGCAGCAATTTTCGCACTGACGCTGTCAAGGGCAAACATCAAGTCAGTGATCTCCAAGAGTATGATGACAAAGACCAACCTTATGGTGCTCGCCGATAGCAGGCGCAGGACGTCCAAGCTCGTACAATACAGGTCGTGAAAGCTGCTGACGAGGGCGCAATGATTTAGAGCAACTCCATAACAATAAATTCCAACGCAATCCGCCAAGAACCTGGGCCTTCTGGGCCTTCTGCATTTGAAAGGAAAGCTTAGAATAGCTTCGCTTCCCCCACGCTACTCTCCCAAAGCGTCAGCACATCTCGGGACTTCGGGGCCCTTCTTCCCAACCCGTCGGCCCCCACTCGGCAAAAGGACAGCTCGTGTTGGGGACCTCCCAAAGCGTTTCGGCAGGTTTCGGCAACACTCTGTTTTGTTCGTTTACGGGCCTTCAAGTGCGGGGGTCAAGTAAAGATAGCCTAGGAGGATGTTTTTCAGTTAGCGCACAGACCCGCCAAGCGCAGGGAGCCACTAAGAACCCCCGACAAAAACAAACGAGCCTTGATGACACGTGCTGCATGCAGGCCTACGAAGCTTCAAGCCCGGTTCAATGATGTTAGGAGGCGCAGGGTGACCAGCTTGGGGCTGAGTTTCGCTGAGGTTTCGGGATTCTCGTTCCACACTCTGCACGGTTTCCTGTGAAGATTGGCTAGACAATGTTTCAGCCCCTGCAGCCGAGGAGTCCCGCACTAGCCCTTACATTGTTCGTTCGAACTGGGGCAAGCCAAGCTACAAGGTGGCCTTGTATTTGCCATCTCGGTACACGAAAAGCCTGCACCATCGCATGGAGAAGTGCTGTATCAGCAATGGGTCAGACGAGCACACACGCCGTCCCCCTTCCGCCTGTGCTCCTCGGTGTCATAGCGCTCTTCCAACCTGTTTCCGAGACAGGCCTCGTCGGTCCAGGCAGCAGCAAGAAAGTCATGTTAAACTTGTTCGACTGCCAAGGCACCCACTACTCATTGACAGGACTGCTTGTGAAGTCACTTCCGGACCAAGAGCTCAAAACTCTACACGTCCGCCTTCGTTGCTCGCACCACATACGTGTCCACGATCTCACCTTTGGAAACATGAGCGGAAACGTGAAGACTGCAGAAAAAACATTCTTCAAACGGCCTTCGCTGTCCTCCTCAAACATGGCCTGGCCACCGCTAGCCATGAGCCTTGGCACAAACGCTCCGTGCAAGCGCTGAGCGCTGACCATATGCACGCTCTGCCAGACTTCATGTGAGCCCTGCTACACAACTTTCTGGCCAATGCTGGCACGGTAGTGGTTTGATGCTTGCAGCTGGCCATGCTCCCCTGCTGAAGCCACTCCATCTAACGGATAGAATGTCGTAAAGTGAAAGGAATCAGACATCACGAATGACTGCGGCCGCGAAGCACCACTCCCATGCCAACTTGGAGGATCTTCTCGTGCTTTAACACGTCTTCCAAAATCTCAGCATGTGCTTGCATGCCGCCAGCGAAGCAGACTCCAACAACAATCTACTGATATTCCTGTCACTTACTGGAATCAGCACCTCATGATCTGGCACTTGTTGCCTCCAAGCTGCCAAGAAAAAACCAAGCCTCATGAGCACACAGCCCACGATCCCAACAAACAAGGCCTGTCAGAAGGTGGAAAAAGCTCGATCTAACTTGATCCAGCACATCCATGTGTGCAACAGGTGCCTTCCGAGTCAAGGATGGGGGCACCCGATAAGTGGTCATAATCAGGCTGAATACAACCAGGTTGTCCATGGAGAGCCTTGTTCGTGTTGAGAACTGAGGGGTATGCGCGTGCATGCGGCTTTTTTTGCAGAACGAAGGAACATCCATTCCAGTGAAAAGCCACTGAACCAGTAAATGGCTTGATCTGCTCCATACAGGTACCTGCCGCTAGCTGGCTACGCAGCATCTCGCAAGCCTGTTACCAACATGTCCTCTCAGCAACTTTCGTTGACAAGTATTTCAGTGTGATTTGAAGATCGGAATTTCGCAACAACAACACCAGTGCAGCAGGCCACCAAATATGCACATTATAGAGCATGCCGATGCTTAGCCAAAAAACCTCAGATTGTGCAGGTCGACAGAGGCCTGAAACGCAGCGCTCACACTAGACTCCACAAGTCTTGGAAGACTTGGCACCAACTCGGCGGAGCTTTCAACTCGCGTAACTAGCATGGCTGAAGATTCATCAATTCATCACAGTCACTGTCAGAGCCACATGGTTGCGAACGCTGGATTTCACCTTGCGCAACACCTTGGTCAGCGTCTCCGCTACACCAAGCGTCACGTCTCATCTTGTACACGGCTGAAGCACATTGCTCAGGGATGCACCAGGAAGTCCAACAGCAGGAGGACAACCACAACTTGAAAGAGGATCACCCATTCCTGAGCTCGATGCTGCAGCTTGATCGCCGGCATTCGGGCGCAGTTGAAACTCAGAAAAAACTGTTGACCGACAAGCTGCACGGCGCAAACCCAACCATCCTGGTTGACCCAAATCCAGCTGCCGGTCTGGCAACAATCGCCTGCGGGAGGCAAATGCCCAATAGTTGGCATAACATCGTAGAATGTGAATCACGCTAAGCTGGCAAACACACACCTTCCCGTGTCATCTGCTTGTAATGCCGATGCAGAACCGTAAATACCATCGTGGTCCCGGGTGGCCGTAGCCTGTCCAACAGTTGTCACCTCTATGCGTTATGTGCTGTCGGGACTGCTGCTTCGGCAAATCTTGCGTGAACAACCAAGGACAGATTTGAGCTGCGGGCTTTTACCCTTAGCGTCTCCTCGCTCATGAACAATTGCTGAAAACCTGCCAAGCGGTGCGAAAGTCACATACACGTCAAATATGCTCATATATGATGATGCCTGCCTTGTCACCAGCGCTTCATGAATCAAAGACCTGAAAGAACAATTGTAAATCAATGCAGAGGCTAGCTTCATTCCTGTTGCATCGTTGCCAACATGCTGGCACGCCTCCTGTCAACACGCGTGAACAACCAACATGGCACTCGAACACAAAGGCCGTCAGACTTGCGCGTTGATTGTGGATATGTTCATGATGCAGCGCATGGTTCTCACAAGCATGCAAACCACGTCAATCTCGAGCAAAAAATCCAAAGCAGGCAAGTAAGATGTGAGACACGGCTCAGTCGCTAATGTAATCTAACGTATCTCAATCGCCTCCGATTCCTTCGCAACTCCTGCCAAAAAACATCAAGTTAAGTGCATTTTTGGCTTCTGTGGGTTGCTTTGCACATCAAGTGGTACATATGGCACGTGCAGGCACCATGTTGCCGGGTAACTCAAAAAAACCGGCGGATTTCCAAACCACCTGCAAAATCACATCGACGCGGCAAAGGCACTCTTGAAAAGACTGGTAGCAAGACGAACGAACTCCAAGATTGCAGGACTGACTGTTGGCAATCTACAGGGCATCGGACCAGCACCCTCCGAAGGACAGTCTGAAAAAATGCAGATGGATGCAATGCTACAAGGAACTTGGGGTGGGACTTGGCCCAAGAACAACAACACTTCAAGCTCTAGAAGGTCCAAGCTACATCCCTAAAGTATGCATTGACGAGCTGAGGAAAAAAACACCAAAACAATAGCAAATTTCGCCTGCAAACTAGTGGTTTGGAACCGATCTTTACCGATGATGACTCGTCATGTCAATGCGACCGTTTCACATCGGTCGCATTTCACAGCGATATGATTGACAACACATGACCCGTGACAGATCCAAATAACCTCATCCCTGGACCCCTTTTAAGTTAAAAAAAAAAAAACTTCCCCCCATTCCCCCCCCCCCCCACACACTATAGCGGGGATGATCCCTTCTCTCGGGGTGTGCACAGCTCAGCATCCAACAACAACAGTTTCGACAAGAGGTAAATTACAGATCTGGTGCATGAGTATGTCGACTTGCCGGACGCTTGGAAGACAAGCCTCTGACAACATATCAGACGGACATACGAGCACGAGGACATCACGACTCAGATTCCCACCTTCCTGCAATTCCTCACATTTAATCGAGCGCCGCAAGATCGAGGTACTCCGCCTCAGGCCCCAATCAAAAGTACGTTTGTAAGATGTTAAAGGACAATCGCGTCGACGAACCTTGACAGTTGATGGCCAACGCGGCTAGGCTGAATGACCGTTTCGTGCGCCGAGATGGTGGGACTCGCAGACAGCTCACCTCGACTTTGCCTCCAACTTTCCTTCGCCCGACCTTCCGGACCCGGACCCAATGGGATGCAGCAAAGTTTACTTCTCGTCGGGATGATAAGTTGGACATAGAAAAACGCTTAAGCTCTTCAGCCCCTAAGCGTGCCCCTGAGCCCCCTATATAATCCCAATGAAGTTCTTAGGCCCCTAAACCCGCCCTTCAGAAAGCCATAAGCTCCCAAGCCCCTAAGTACGAAGGACCTTTATGTACTATTTGGCGTGTGGCTTTGGGTGACTTGAAAGGACACGGCCAATTAATTGTTTGAGGTTGTTAAGGGTTTTTAAAGGCCCTAAAAAACCTCAAAATCCTTAAACAAATACATTGCTCGGCCCTCACCATTTAATGTTTTAGGGATTTTAAGAGTTTTAAAGGCCCTTAAAAACTTTGAAGCCTTTAAAAAATATTAATGGTGAGGGGTCCCGGGCTCCCCCGACCCATTTTGAATTTTAAAACAACCTTAAAAGCTTTAAATTCCTCAAAAAAAATACAAGGGAGGGCCGAGCCATTTCATTGTTTAAAGATTTTAAAGGTATTAAAGGCCCCTTAAAATCCTTAAAGTCCTTAAACAATGAAATGGTGAGGGGTCCCGGGCCTTCCGGACCCAATTGAATCTTTCAAAGACCCTAAAGCCTTACAATCCTTAACAAGTTAAATGGGTCCCGGGCCCCCCGGACCCATTGGAATGTTTAAAAAACCTTACCTTAAAACCCTTGAAAAAAACACATGGGGAGGGCCGAGCCATTTAATTGTTTAAGTTTTTTACAACTTGTTAAAAACCTTAGAACCCTCAAAAAAAAAAAAAAACATTTGGGAGGGGGGGCAGACCATTTGTTTTAAGGATTTTGAGGTTCAAAATTTGCCGGAATCCCCTTGGCGCCCTGCAAAAGTCCTGCAACTACACACAAAACGGAAGAGGGTAGGAACAACATTAAACAAAAATACTTTTGACATGTTTTAATTGGGGGCACTAGAGAACAGCTTTAAACCACATAGACATTCAGGGATTATCTGCGGCTGCAAGGTTTATGAAGAGAAGCCAGAAACCCAAAAAGGCTAAGCAATTAAACCTAAACCCGTAACTTGTAAACCCTCTAGGCGCTAAGGTTTAGCCGGTAAACCCTCACCTTCAAACCCTATAAGGCGAAGGTTTAGAGGATTCCTGGGTTGAACCCAGGTTCAAGGGGGGGGGGAGAACAACAACAACTCAGGAACCCAGGTTCGGAACCCAGGTTCGAACCCAGGTTCGAATTTTTTTTTCGAGTTGAGCGAACAAATGCGATCCACCTTCTTGGTGTTTGGGTTGTGAAAACCGTGCCTTGGTACCGGCACATCTGATGGCACTCTTGGCCCTATGGTACAGGGGGAGGAACATCACCTCCTCCTAAGCTATCATCCTCTTTGGGATGCTACCAGAGGCTGATACCTCATGAGAGGATTGAACCTCCTGGCAAACAGTCCTCAAGGTTTCTGGTGCACTGTGTGCAAACTGTGAGAGGAATTCGGCCAGGGGTGTGTTCTCTGGCAGCGAGGATGAAACTCGACTTCATCATCCTCTTTGGGATGCTACCAGAGGGTGATACCTCATGAGAGGATTAAACCTCCTGACAAAAAATTTCCCTCAAGGCCTCTGGTGCACCTGGTGCAGGCTGTTAGAGGGGATCGGCCAGGGGTAGTTTCTCTGGTAGCGAGGATGACCTCCACTTTATCCTCACTGGGAGGATGCAACCTCCTAGGTTGCTTCAGCTGCCGGTGCCTTCAGGGATTTTGCACAAGGGGGGTCTGCTGCAACTTGGGCTGTCCCTTGCACCTGCTGAAAGAGGCTGCGGATGGCATTGGTTGGCTCGGGTTTAAACTGCGCCTTGCACCTGGGGTCCTTTTTAAAACTGCATGCAACTGAAAGTTTTTGCGAAACATTTTTAGTCTTCAAGGACAACTGTCCACCACAACCTTCGCAAACCCACAGTTGTCTGTCCCCTAGCAGTTTTAAAACATGTGTAACATGTACCCCTTCAACCGTCACTCTGCCTTGGTGTGTGCATTGGTTTGCTGCCAATGCTGCCAAGGTTTTGCGGTTCTTTGTGTGCAAGAGTTTAAGTTGGCACTGAGCACACCGGAGGTTGAGACCTTCCCATTCCCATGCATGCACAAGTTTGGTCCGGACCAGCTCCTGGAACCATTCTTGCTGGGTGGTGATGTGGCCTCTCCCAATGTTGGACCCTATGCGCTTTTTGCAGGGCCTGGAGGTGGCCTCGTTGCTCTTGCGAGCCTGCTTTTCTTGCAGGAAGACCTTGTACACTGGGTGCTGATTTTCCCCAATGGCAGTAAGGATCTTTTCCGCCCTGCTCGCCAGGAATTCTTGTGCTTTTTTGCTGCAATGGTCCTGGTACTGACTGGCTGCCCGGACATCAGGGTGGGCCAGCTCGGCCGCTTTTTCCCCACACAGCTTGTCCGCTAGGTCATTGACCTGCTGTCTCCACGAGTTTTCCGCACCCACCTTCCGGAGGAACTCCTCCTCTGAAACATGGGATGGAACCCATTTCATTTTGAGGCGGTTGACATCTGTGGTTTGCAGCTCCCACCAGATGTCACCGTGGGTCTTGCCCGGCTTCGGGCTGCGGACTCGTTTCGGGACACCAAGGCAATCCAGTGTCGTGTCAACAGGGCCTGCTGTATACCGGGCTAGCTGCAGAACGGCGTACAGCTCCCCCCTAAACACCGTCTGTGGTCCAGGGACTTGGCCAACGATCGCTCCTACCTGGACATAGTTTTGGCCCTGCTTCTTGCAGGCTACTACTGCGTAGGCCACCTGCCGGAGTCTCGGGTCCGCCGTATAGGGCCCCCCGCTAGCATCAGTGCCATACACAAGCTCCGGGTCATTGAGGGCCTCTTTGTTTGCCCATATACCCAGAAAGATGGGATTGTCCTCCTGTGGAGGCTGTACCTCCCATTTGGGTTTGGGCGGGAGGCCCCTGGTCCACAGTGATCTCGGGCCTTGGGCCCTGCCTTCTTGGAACCATGTTGGCAACTCCCAAGTTTTGGGCCTCCCACCAGGCACAATCCAGGAGGACATGCTCCCAATCTGCTTCCTCGTGGCATCGGGGGCACACTTTGACAGCAGAGTTTTGGCTGCAAACCAAGGCACCCTGCCAGACGCACCTCAGGGCAGCTGCTTTCGTGGTTCGACCTTCTTTCTTGAACTCCCCCAGCAATTTCCTCCCTACCGTCCAGTCGACTCCCTCCTGTAGTTCAGGGGCAGCAAGACCAGTGGCGATGCGGCGGTTCACCTCCTTCTGGTAGGTTTGCTGGAGGAGGTCTAAGACACGACCCTCCTGCTGTGGGGTGTGTATGGTGTGCTTGGTACTGTGGGTGTCTAACCATTCATCACTGCCTCTAGGCTGCCAACCCATGTCAAGCAGGTACGCAACCGTGGCTGCCAAAGGGCCCCTGACCATTTGCCTGCTGCTGGCCTCTTCCAGCCTATGGACGGTGAGGCCCCATGTTCTCTCCAGCAGCTCTTCCTTTCCTACCCAGCGCTTCTTAAGCTGGAACCAGGCCTCAACTTGCTGG